TTTTTGTACAGCTTTGTTTGTGTTCATATAAGCTTATGAGGAGATGTCTAACCGGCTCTGCCAGATTCAGTCATCTCATAATCTTATCATGGACTTTTGTGTTTATTTTTATGTCTTTAAATTTCTGCATTTAATTTCGTTCATGTAAGCTTATGAGGAGATGTCTAACCGGCTATGTCAGATTCAGTCATCTCATAATCTTATGGTGAACACTTTACTTGCTATAACCGACTTTATCTCGGACAATCTTCATTTTAGCTAGTCCGGTTTCGGGTTCTCTATGAGCTAAGTAGTCACGTTGACCGACAGAAGAGATAAAGAGTTATAACATGTTTTAATTTATTTGTTTTCCTGTCTTTTACTTTCCTCATTTTCATCCCCCTTTCGGGTTTCAGGGCAGTTTATTCTGGGTTCATTCCCGGTTTTCTCTGTCTTGTTTGCCCCTCGGGTATCTGAGCAGGTTTTCCTGCTTTCTCTATACCTTTTAATTTTGGGGTATCATTAAGCTCTCTGGCGGTTCCAGCCCGCATTCCTGTCTTGAGTTACACCTCCCCCCTTCTCTCTTGGTATCGAAGCAAGAGATATATTTTTAAGTTAAACAAGGTATATCAATGAGATAATTAAAAGTAAAAATAAATATTGTTATATTTTGTGAGAGTATAAAAATTAAGAAACAAAATTTATATTTATAAGAATTACAAATAATATTTATTATGTTTTGTGATATCATTGATAAGACCATTTTATAAATAATATGACTAATTGAACTAGAAGGTTTGATTAATACATGGATGTTGAAAAAATAAAATATATATTATTCTTATAATTTGGTAGGTACGGATGAAATTTCTAACATTGAGTTTTAGAATGATTCAAAATGTTACAATGAGTACAAATGAAATTATCTTTCTTGTACTAAAGAAACGTAACACCATTTATTGGTGGCAGATACATGATAAAATTATGTATTTTTTTAACAACTAGTCTCCCTGACCTTCTTTTCAGAACAAATAAAAGAAAACCCGCTTGATGAAGAAGTTTATCAACATCCATACAAAAATCATTGCATATTCCATTTAATTATAGTTATTACATGATTTGATGCCATTATATATTATTTATATATAAAAAGGTTTGAGTTCCATGAATGACCCTCAAATTTATATCAAAGGACCAATTCTTCAAAACACAAGTTCAGATCATTCCAAACTTGTTTTGGAGAAGAAGAGAAAAATGAAATATTCATCTATATGTACTTTGGAAAGTGATTGAAAGTCATGACAAATTCAAAGAGAATGAATAAAACATCAATCATTTATAAATGCAAATCCAAAAAAGAGTATATTCATCACCTTCTTCCAATAAATACATTTTTTTTCATTAAAGTATGGGAAACAAACACTAATATTGGATAAACAAAGAATAAATGTAAAAACTTGAATTCATTCATATTACCATAAAAGAGAAGAAAGAAAGGAAAATTTGATATAAAAGAGTATAAGTAAAAAAAAATGTATTTAAAAAAAAACTCATAATAAGATAAACAGAATTGAATTTGAAAATTTTATTTTATATATATCACAATTGGTACATGTCCTATTAAATGTCTTTTTTAAAGAAAAAAAGTGTAAAGATAGAAAGAATTAAATAATAAAAAAATAAATATTTAGAAATTATTATTAAAAATATGATACATATATTATTTTGAAATTATCTTATTATTTAATATTTGACTTGTTAACTGTTTTTCTATGTTTTATGGTGGTTCTTAATCCATTTTAGATTAATAGATATTTTTGAAATATAGTTTTGTTCATGTTTATAATCCTACAACTTATCGATGTATAAATAAGTACAACTTATCGATATACAAATAAGTAAAAAAATATTTATTTAATTTTACCAACTCATATATTAGATCATCTTGATTTAGTCATGGTAACAATGTATTTTTAAAATACCATTTTAAAAACCATTTAAATGATATATTTATTGTTTTTATTATTTTCTTTGCGACATAAACTCACTAAGTGAACTATTTTTTCCTTTATAAATAAAATTTTCAGGTTATCCATTCACTAAATTAAAACTATTTACAGTGAATTATGCTCCAAATTTGAGAGGAAATTGTTTGATAAAATTAGTTAACAATAAATTTATTTAACAAATGTTTATAATTTAACGGTACAACAGAGTTTGACATGGTTTGTTGAATGAAATAATGTGATGGTAGTGAATCAAAGTGGGTCCCAGTGAAAAAGTGAGAGTTGGGTAGGAATTACGATGCGAGTGAGGCACGAGGAACGAGGCCATGTACCTTTCACTCTCAAAGCAACGTAAGATTTGGTGGTCCTGTCATACGTCCGAACAATTGGACTTACCAATGGGAAATGGACACGTGTGGAGTGACCCACTCTTCCAATTTAAAAATCGAATCAGGTGGTCTCGAGGAACAGTAAAAGATGAATGCAAGCGTAACTGCATCATTTGGCCAAGTCAAGAAACTACTTGATGACCCTATGATGTGTAGAGTATAGACTGTGCTTCATAGCTTCTTCCACATTCCAACTTTTTTACTTGTTATCAAAGAAAAGTATATATTTTGTTTGAATTGGTATAAGACAATGGTGAATAAATGGGTATATATATATACTCAAGTTAAATAAAAACACATTATTGTTCTAATGATTGAAAATAATCCTTTGTTAAATTAAAGCACAATATTTTTCCAATGATTGAAAATTCATCCTTCCTCTCATTGTGGAATACAAAAATGCATTTTTAATTTACATGTTTTTATTAATGGAAATATTAAGAAACTGATGGTATATTCTGTGTAAAACTGGTTAGTCTTTATTTTTCAATGTTTTACTAATTCTTAAGTTCTGTAACTTCAATCAATTATTAATTATTTAATGGATGGTTGCAATAGAGTCATACTAAAAATAAATAGAAGCCGACAGCGAGACTCGTGTACGACAAGCATGGTAAACAAAACAAGAGTTGGTTCGCATTGGTCAAGGAACCTGTTCATGCAAATTAATGAAGCATCACCAAGGTTAGCAGCATTTTCAAGCAACAACTTAAATGTCACTTCCCAAGTCTATATATTCTTTTTTATTATTTGCCCTTCGTTTATATCTTAAAATCAATTAATTATATAAATATAAACGTAGATTACATATATGGAATATTTGAAAACTTTTGATGTTCTGTTCACAAATTAATTATATGCAGCCATGTTTATCTCAGAAAGAGAAAGGAACCACATTTTAAAAAAAAATAATTACTTATTAGTAAAGTTTACTGTTTGTATATGTTTACTTTAAGAAGATTAAACAGTATCAAACAAGTTTTTTTTTTTTTCAAACAGTAATTTATTTTCATTTCCATTAGACAACAAGGAAAAAAGGTCAAAGAAGGAATAATTTTTGTTAGAATTTTCATTGTATCAAGCAAATGTAGATATGGTCAAATAATCGATGAAAAGCACATATTCCACATTTGAGGAAATTCCCTAGTCCAAGCACTTGCATATGTTCCCTTTGTAAAGGAAAAAAAAAAATTATGTTGCAAACCAGACTTTAGATCAAATATCAAAGTAATTTTTAATTTAATTAATTACTAGTACTGCACAAAGAAACCCTTCTCCTCAATACATTGCTTTTTAACTCTCACAGTAATCCAAAAACTAATCACTACTTAAATGTCTGTTCACCTTTGACTGAAAAGGAGGAACCAACATCAATACCATGAAGATTACACTCAGGCTTCTACTATACTACTCATTCAAAACAAACAGTTTTTTTTTTTTTTTGTTGGAGTTTGGCCACATATATTCAAATTCTCTGCATTAACATGACATTACCATTGGAAAGAGTAACTTGTATGCAAAAAACTTTGAATGACATACATTTAGCCACATCAAGTTGAAGAAGAATAGTTCATGAGGAGTAATAGTCATTGACTTTGAACGCCACAACAGTTACCACAGTGGGGTCATGGGATTGTAAAAGCACCCCATGGGCTACAATGATCATCATCAAACTTTGGTATAAAGCACAAACATATATACTGAAAGTTCACATCCAAATGCTAAGCAAAATCCACCAACTTGGTCTTGGTCAACATATATGTGGAAGAAGAACACCTTCAATTTCCATGGAACCAACCACTTAGGACCTATCTTCAAAATTAACCATTTTTAACTTAAGATTCTCCTTATTAGTTAAATAATTGTTTAATTACATTAGTAATGCATGGTAAATAAATATTCTTTAGTAATTTGTGATTTGTAACTTTTTTTATCAGATTTATGATAAATAATTCAATGGGGACATTATGTCTATTTTTGTTAATTAACCATATATATATATATATATATATATATATATATATATATATATATATATATATATATATTACTGCGAAAGAGAAAAGAAAGGTTTAGAAAGTAAGATTTAAAATAGTAATAAATAAATAAAAAACAAGATAGAAAGAAGGAAGAGAACTAGTCCAATAGCAGTTAGGTTCTTGAAATTAGGCCCAATTATAGGACCAACATTAGGCCTATTAAGTGAGTAAGTCCAATAATCTAAGGGGTGTCCGTCGTAAGGCCATAGTTTTGAATATGTTTGAACTCATCGATTTTGAAGGGATCATTAGCAGTTTTCAAACCGAGAAGAAGATCTTCCAATTGATGAATGAGTGAAGCCAATGCCAAATTTTCTGGTTAAGAAACTCGAAACTCATGCAACATAGGTTGTTGCTTGGGGATTCTGAGACTTTGTTTTATTCATCAAATAAAAAATTCTGATAGTTTCATTATTTAACCTCACGTTTTGAATGAGTAATTTAGGCATTCTCGTCAAACACACAACATTCATAAATATAACCTCAAAACATGAAAAAAATAATATTGTCAAGCTAAATAATTTATGTAGCCGAAAACAATGTTAAAGTACTACTTCCACTTGAAATATGAAACTAAATATGAACATTCAACGGCAGTGAAGGACAAACAATGCGCTTCCATGACCTGGTACTTCTGCTGAGAATGTATTATGTGTGCTGATAGTTGTTTTACTCCACATTTCAGTGCCCTCACAAAAACTCAACTTTCTGCTTCTACCTGGAGGCACAATACCCAAGTCTACTATGTTTGCAGATATTGTTGTTTTCTCATTACTTAGGTTGAAAAAAGCAACATAGATCTCCCCTGAAGGCAAGAAAACCAACATGTTAGTTGTAGTTTCATACTAATTTATACTAACATTTAATGTAAACTTTTCTTTACCTCTTTTAATTTTAATGGGAGAGTAATACCAAAACCTAAGGGAAGTACGTGTAGGTTTTGCTCATGGCCTTTTACTACATATCAATTTGGTATTGGAGAAACATTGAACTAGAAAAGTCTAATAGATGAAGTTAGGATGAGTAGACAAACCTTTTCTTCCAGTTGCAATCCATGATCGAATCCCATTAGGATAACCTTCAGCTGCATGATATAAATAGCCATTAACCACAAAATAAACAAATAAATGAAAGATATAATGAATAGTTAGACACTAATTTTTTACCTAGGAGATGTTCTACTGCTGCACAAAGGCCAGATTGACCATTAACCAGAGTCCCATTAGATTTTAACTCCCATATCTGTTCAGATGGGATATATCTCTGCTTTCTGCATCAGTAGAATTGAAATATGATTTACTGCAAATAACTATAACAAATCAAGACGAATAAATATGAGGTAAAATATGATTACGATGATGGCATTGGGAGTTCTCTCTTGTTCACACAAAAGGGTTCTTCCTGTTCCTGTTTTGGACTCTTGTAACAGATTTTCTCAAGACCTTGGTTATATTTTTCACTAGACCAACCACTTGCATTTGGATCAGAGCACTCAGTGAGAGCTAGGGAGTGGGTAAACTTAACTTTTGTGACATTGTGTCCTTCGGTCTTGTCAGCATGTAATGTTGTGATATTAGGAAACTGTATAAAAAATGCAGAAACAATGCCAGTGTAAGATTTAAGAATCATCTGATTACCAAATGAAAAAGCAAGAAAAGTTTCACATGCCTCCTGATTGTTTGAGCTAAAAGAGTTTATCTCCAAAAGGGTAGGATTTGTGATAAGATCATAGGTCCATGGATCAATATTCCTTAGATCCCCTCCATACATAATGGGAGACTTTGCCATACACCATAAAGTCATCTGTGAGATGAGAGTAGCACCACTTAGAATTTATTGATTTACATGAGTATATGTCCTGTCCAATATATAGAAATTCAATTATGTTGTGCTTGTGCATATGTACCTGAGTTCTTTGCTCATCTTGAGTGAGCGTAGTATTCCTATGTGGACCTTCTTTAACGTCTAAAGAATAAACAAACAAAAAGGGAAGTGTTATACTTAATATTCTTAAAGTCTAACATTCAAACAACTCATTGCAATCTTGAAAAATTGCGATATATATATGGGATGAAACTGAAAACATTTTTTTTTTCTGAAAGGCCTATTCTTTTTTGGTGAAAAAATAAAAGGGAAAATGATGGCTACTTCATTCCATGACTAGGGCAACACAAATCAAACATAAATGAAAACATTAGAAGCAAAGGGTTCTTGACCTTAAGTATTGAACCAACCCAGTGGGCACTCAGTAGTAAAATAGCATATTTAGAAAATTATTATGCAGATGATGTAAATGGGGAACCGTTTAGAATACCTCAACTAGCTTGGTCCAAATAAAATAAGGAAAAAGTAGTAATGCAAGTGCATTTAGGCTAACCTGGATCGGTTAGCCATCCAAATGGTAGCATGTCCAAATCAGGCCAAGATTCTCCCTTCAAACCTTTTCCTCCTATCAGTTTAGATGCAGCAAAGTCTCTGAAAGAAAAATCAAATGAATCAAAGCAGAAGAAAGGTGGAAGGGAAGTTCACATATATCTTGATGTCAAACATAGGAAGAATTTATTTAGTTACCTTGATACGTTAAAATGAGCTAAGATTGCTGGCCATTCATCCCAGTCATCTTTTGTTACACGGTATGCGTTAACTACACTACTAACCATCTTAGCCATTTCTGGTGTTGCACCGACTCCAGGAGACACAGAAAATACAATGGAATTGTTAAGGCCATTGAGAATCTGTATAGATGATAACTCAAATGATGTTCCATGTCTTGGCTTTTAAATGAAACAGATAGAAAGGGGTGAGAATTTTGCATTATACCTCTGATACAGATGTTATCTCACCCAAATCCAAGTCCTCACCAAATACACAATCAAGTTTCACTGTAACAAATCAAAGCAGAAAATTCATACAAATACGTCAAAGCTGAAAGTAAAATCCACACAGTTTCTTGTTTCTTATTTGAAAACATTATGATTGAGATCTCATGTAAGAAAAATGAATATGTTGCATAATTTGTGATAGCGCAAGATATGGAGAATATGTTTTAGTGGATTGAATACCAAAATCAACTCCCCATGAAGCATACAACTCATAAATTGATCTTAAGAAGGCTTTTCCAGCTCCTGTTGTTGCATTGATGGCCATGAAACCATTATTCATCCATTTACAAGCCTTTGATGGGATTCCTATATCTTTTGCGCTCCACACTCGACCAGATTCCATGTAAGGTTGTCCCTGGCAAGGTTCAAGAAGAGAAAAATAAGTTGAACAAATGTTGTCGGGTTTGTAGTACACCGATATTTTCCTTTTACTTATTAATTAAAAATCATATTCTCTTTCTTTTCTATGAATTATATGTTTAAATGTTTGAGAAATCATTCTTTTATTTTTATATATAAATTTTAATTAAGAACGTTTATGGATATAGACTTTACTCATTTGGATGATGCACCCAGGACAACTTTCTCTTAGAATAATTCTAACACCAATAATTGAATCAAGCGTTTGTCACTGAGTCCAAAATTATAGATAATCAGACTTTAACTCTTTTTATTTAGGAGTGAAACAGTTCAGACATTAAAATTCGTTTGTGATTTGACCTAACTAATCTCCTTCACAAACAACAGATTTTAATTTTCACATACCCATTAACCCAATTCAAGTCAATTAAGAGTTGATCATACTATTTAAGATTTGGTATAAAAATTACATGTTCTTGAAACACTAATTTTCCCTTCTATTCATCCACGCTGGATTTCTCTGAAGGGGAGGCAAGAACATTACGCATAAATATAATGCAAACTATTTTAATTGAGTTAGGTAAAAAATTTGGTCCAACCATAATATGAACATCCCTAATTTTATATTTTAAAGAAAAATAATTTATCAATAATTTTAAAATTTTATTTTTATGTTAAGATTTCATTTAAAATTTGTATTTTTATGAAGTTCACAAATATCCACATTAATTACTTCAAAAATTATTTATATTAAAATGTTATTTATAGAAAATCTTATATCTTTACAATACGAAATTGTTTTTCTTTTCTTTTTTGAAATCGTACAAATTCATATTTTTCCTTTAAAACTAAAATAAAATATTGTTGTACGGTAGATGAGATACTAGTTAATTGATTTTTATATTTATGTAGGATAAAGTTCAAAGTTAATTAGGTAAACTGTGATTAAATACTAATATATTGAAAGAAATGCAGAATAAAAAAAATTATCTGAGCGGAATTAAGTTTATTCTTGTAAATATGATATCAACTTGGAATTTAGTACAAGAAAAAGAAAGGTGATTGAAAACCAATTACATGGTTGCTAGACAAAGAAAAGAAAAATATTGCAGGAATGAGAAGCAATTTACCGTAATTGTATCCAGTATTGGCGTGTTCTTATTAAATGCCTGTGTACTGATTCCAGCCATAAGATGAATCCCAAACTTTAGACTCATATTATGAACTTTATTTGCTACATCAGTGAACCCTCTCCCTCCTTTTGAAGAAGGCCATCTTTCAGGGTCAGGGATCATTCGTCCCCATTTATCAATCATATCAAAACCAAGAGAATTTTTATCACCCTTCAAACTCCTATACCAGAGGAAATCCACAACAGCATACTGCATGGTTCAGAGCAATTATTATATATATCCATATGAACATATTCACATTAGGAGTGCAAAACAAATTATACAATACCTCGTATCCATGAGCATGTAACTGCTGAGAAACTATGTTAGCATTCTGTAAGTATTCTTCCTCAGAAATTATCCAGCTAAAGCAATCGTAGGAGTTCCAACCTCTTGGAGGGATGATAGCATTTTTTGCTGACACACTGAAATAAATGCAAAGACTCAGAAAGAACATCACGGTACATTGCTAAGTGTTTATGTAATTGTGTAGTTTCTCTCATGAATAAACAGCAGAACAAGGTTGCACCCATAAATCATGGAAAACTAACTGTATTTTTATTTTCTTACAATGGATTATTGAAACCAAGGTAAGAGAATATGATGCTGAAATACCTCTGAATTGCATAAAGACAGAGAAGGAAGCAAAGAGAGATGATGCATTTCATGGTTGCAGCTAAGTCTATTCTAACAAACAAGTTTGAGCCACTATAGGGGATTCTAGTATTTATGAACTTTGTCTTGGCCTTCATGCAAACCAAAAAGAGTTTATATTCCTTATTTCGATTCAGAAAGACGCGTTTGTATTAGTCACGTCCCTGACCCACGTACACCTCTCCGTTTAGAGGCATGAAGTCTATCTTGATCGAAGAGTACAGGGTAAATAATTTAATTTATGAAATTTTATATTAAAAGTCAGATAAATTTTTGAAATTTTTAGGTTTTCATTTGTTTTTTTTTTTTAATGTTGTTAAGGTTCTGACATAAATTATTTCAATAGACTTCTTTCAACTAATGCCAAAAAGTATTTTTTATTTAACTAAAAGATAACCTATAGCTCATGAAAATAAGCGACAATAAGAAAACAAGAAACATATTACTTTTAACCCATAACAATAACGAGAAAGATATTAGGTTTTGGTTCTTATACTATATTAAAGTTCTAACATAAAACCAATTGATTATATAAAATAACGTAACATGTATTTAAATTATACCAAATGACGTAAAATAAGTAATGTAGGACTTTCAACAAATATTAGTATCATGACTTAGACAAAGATTAAGTGTAAATGATTTAAATAAAATCTTAAATAATTTCAAGAATTTATTTGAAATTTGTTTTAGGAAGGAATGTGAGTATTTAATAATAATTATTTGAGAAAAAATATAAATATTTTATTATCAATTTTATAGGTAAATGTATAAAATTTGATTAGATTATTTATATAATTAATTTTCTTCTCATTTTAAATAATTTGTTTTAATTTTAAGTAACTTTAATATATAATTTATAATAAAATATTTATTTTTATTTTTAAGTAATTCTTGTTATTAATTACGAAGATATTCTGAGATTGTAACAACAAAAACCAATTTAACCATTTACTCTATTAGTTAACAGATATAAATAATAAATTTTTAACTATCTTTATACGTTTTCTTAAACTTTATTATTGTAAATATGTATTAATTATTAGTAGAACGAGGAAGTGAATAGCATAACTTTTTGTGTTTAATGAGTGTAAGATAGATGTAAAATTTAAATTATTTAATAAATTTTAATTTTGTTTGAATAAGTATATGCTAAAAAAATTATTTTAAGATAATTATCTTCGTTTGATCTAAGAAAAAATAAATAAGTTTTTACATTAAAAAATGAAGAGAATTATAAAGCTGAAACTTCATAATACATTTTAAACTACAAATATTTTTTGTTAAAGCAGTTTCCCAAAATATTCTTCAACATGATATTGAAAAGTTAGCATTAATTATGCCCAGGATCACTTAAGGCAACGTAGAAAGTTTCCATGGATATAGCTGAATGGTCACTTTCTTTCCTAAATTTATTTGATTCATTTGGATTACTCTCCACTGAAAATGTATTTTTTTTTTATGAGGCACTGCATTTAATTATTTCTCTTCCTCTTTTTTTATTAGAGGCAAAAATCTCTTTGAAAATTTAATTTTATATTAGTTATCTGATGTGCTTAAATTTAGTTTTACTAATTATATTTAATGGAAAAATAAATTATTAAAACTGATATTGTTTATACTTAGTTTTAATAATTAGTATTAGATTAATATTAAGTAATAACATTGAATTTCTACATAATTTCATTTTAAATAAAGAATACAAATATAAATTTAAAAGAAAATTATTACATATATGTATCCGGACAATTTTTTTTAGTTTAAGTTTATATGAACATATAAATGCAATAGCAGTATTAATACTTATTCTCACTTATATATATATATATATATATATATATATATATATATATATATAAAAAATTAGTTACTTTGTCATATGTTTTCAAGAAAATAATAATTAGCAATAATTATTATATATGTATATGGTTAAAATTAAAATAATTCATAATATTTTTATTCAAATATAAATTGTAAAAAATTAATACTTATCTATCCATTTGTTTATGTAAAGAGACTTAAACACGTTGGAACCATTGCTACATGTAAATTCCTTTTACTGGTGGCATCAAAACAAATTAAATTGACTTAATTATATTTAATAAATATTAAATACTTTACATCGATAATAGTTATTACATAGATATTATTGTACCATTTTTAATATTTTATTTATTAATATAATAGTTTTATGAATTTAGTAATTGAATTTTAATTTACCATATTCATAACTTTTCATCAAAATTCCTATATATAAAATTTACTATTAAAGAAAAACTAATTATTTTAAAACGTGATTCATATATATGTATGTATTAGTAGTATATATGTCTGTATTAAAAAATAAATTATATTTAATAAATAATTAAATACTTAACATTACTGATACTATTATATAAATTCTAATGTACCCCTTAATATTATTATTCATTATTATGTTTATTAAAATTATATTAATATTTATATATCAAATATAATATATCTACGAATTTAATAATTAAATATGAATTAACTTTTCTTTAAATTATATTATTAAAAAATTAATTATTTAAAAACTTGATACATATTGTCTATATCAATATATAATAATATACATTTTAAAATCAAATATTAATAATGTTATGAGGTGGTTGATTTTTTAAGTTATGTTAATAATTGATATGTTAATAATAGGTAAATTATGACGATAAATTTTATTGGGGAAGATAAGTGTATTTTTTCGTATTCATAATTGAGGAGATTTTTATTTATTATATTGAAGAGGATTTTTTATGTTAAATATATTGGTATTTTTTTCGTATGATTATTTCTGTCATTTTCTATTGTTACTTCTCACATAATCTTACAAGATTAGAAAAATTATTTTTGCTGCAAATTTGTTTTTTTTTCTATCAATGATCATATCAAATATTCTTTAAGAAAATCTAATAAACCTCAGAGCAATAACACCTATAAACTAATGTAATGTCTTATTAACAATTTATTATGAAGTTTAGTTGAAGTTATGTAAAACTTCATATAATAACCACCTTCTTCAACATATCTATATAGGATCTTCTAATTTAAGGATCTTCTCCAAAAACAAAATATCATCATTTATTAGTTGCCTGATGAAAGGATATCTAAAAAGTGGTTCCCATGAACCAACTTCTACACTTTTCAGGAATATTCCTTTTTGAGACTAATATTTTCATATCCTTCTCGTTCATGTGACCAAGTTTTTGGTGTCACAGAGTTGAAAGATAACCAACATTTACTAATTGAATTTTCTTCTTCTACAAGTAATTCTATCATGTATGGGTTCTTTTCTTCTAACAACAATTAGATTATCCTTCATCACATTCAATTAATCTTTTTTTAATATAACTTTATATCCTTAAACATCTAGTATGTCGATAGAGATTAACATTCTCTTAAGTCTTGCAATATATATGATATTCTTTAGTGTCCATACTACACTAATATAAGTTTTAAGATTTATATATTTTATGTTTGTGATGTCTAAAACTTCATCATCATCTGTTAGACAAACTTTGTTAAAATTTTCAATTCTAAAAATTTTCATAAAGTCTAGGTGAAACATGAAAAGAAACACCAAAATCCATAATTCAAACTTGCTCTCAACACAACATATTAATGCATCATCAATGTTTTCTTATGATGCATTCATTGTATTGTCATGTTTCTTTTCTTTAGGAGCAATATAATGGTTTCTAAAGTGACCAATTTGTTGACAATTTCAATCAGTAACATCCTTACGAGGTTTAAATTATTCTCTCTTCTTGGACTTTAATCTACCACACCCAGAACTTTGTCCTCTTTCAAGCCTTCTACCTCTATCTTCGGTGGTTATTAAGGAACTTGTTGACTCTTTGACATTCCTTTTACGAACATCCTCACTAAAGATTAAATCCCTAATTTCTTTAAAAGTTAATTTTGTCGTGACAGTTTTGACTAACTATTAGGTAATGAAGAGAACAACAAAGTTTGTACTTCATCATCAAATTTGATATCTACTAATACTAATCTTGACAATAAGGAATTAAATTGATTCACATGATCTATAACACTAACACATTATTGCATCTTCGTATTAACTAACTGACGAATCAAAAATACCTTGTTTGATATTGATGACTTATGGTACATGGGTTGATAATGTTTTTATCAAACAATATGACGTCTTCTTGTTGATGATAGTGTAGACAACATTCTTTGCCAATGTTAATCTAACAATGTCCAAAGTCTATCGAATTACAAACTTCGAATCTGTCTGAAACATCGTTTCTAGTTTATTTCAAACAATGGCTGATAAAATATTTTCAATCTGTATCTTTCAAAATCCAAAATCACTTTAATCAGACTTGTCAATCTTCACTTTTTCGTTTTCTACTATTGTTCTCACTCACGTGAAAACCTAAACTTTTGATACTAGTTGTTTGGTTAACACAAGTCAATTTTCTTACTCGGACAAAATTATAAGACGAAAATAAATAACAAAAACACATCATTTATGTAATTAAGTCAAAATGACATACGTTCACGGTTTCACTAGATAATAATTTTTATTTTTTATTAATTAAGTTTACAACAATATAAATTTTTATAATAAAAGAGTAAGTAAATTGATTAGACCTTATAACCCTAAAACTCTACATATTTAACAAAATTGAACTAGGTTCGACTGGATCGACTTGTCCATTTACCTAAAAAATATTGGAACAGATTGGTAATTTTAGCTCATCAGTTCATCTTGTCTCATTTGCATAATCCACCTACAAAATAGGATAGGATGAGTTGACCCACTCTCCCACTTAAAATTAAATTAAAATAAAAAAATATATTTTTTATATTATTAAAATATGTAAATTATTATAATTTATAATTTAAATTATAAATATTAATCAATTAAATTTATATTATGAATTATAATTACTTGTTTTATTTCATAAATATAGAATATTTTAAATTTATATAATAAAAATAATAATTATATATATATATATATATATATTATATAAAAAAATATTCACAGTAACACGCTAACCATCAATACTTCCTTTAACAAAATAAATAAACTAAGATATATAACTCGCATACCGTTTTATTCCACTTTTAACGATCTGAAAATAAGACGTACCAAAATAAATAGGACTCAGTAAATGTCCCAAACGATAAATTAAAGATGTCGTTCACGGAATCCGAAATAACATATTCAATATTCATGTAGAGATAAATATATATTTTTTTCATATATTATGATTTGGTTTTCTCCTTATAAAAAGTTCATGCACCAGTGGTTGAAATAAAATGTCTATCTTGGCATCAAGCAAGTTGCAGAGGGCCATTAGAAATTATTATCTTTTGAAATAATTACTTTAAAATAATATAAAATAAGTTTTAATTATTTATAAATTAAATTATAATGACTTTCTCTGAATTTTATCACTCTCGTGCGTGATATTGTTATTTTAGTTTCATAAAATTTCTTAATTATAATTTTATTATACATATTTCTCTTGTCAATAATGTTTATTTATACTATTAATGATATTCAACATTTTTTTATCATCTAAATGTTCTTATATTGATTAAAACTCCTTATCAATGTTCAATAAATGTTCTTTTTAAGTTTAACTTTTTTATTTAACCTATCTACATAAATTAAATAAAAATTTTAACTCGAAGAAAACATTCCTATACTATTAGAGATAATTCTCAACCCCATAAAGACATTTAGAGAAGATAAAAAGATATAAAAATTAAAAATTAAAATATGTTAAATATTGCATTAATAACATAAATAAACATTTTTACTAAAAAAAGTGATAATAGCATTATAACAACTATTTTTTCTTTTAAAGTCCAAAAGAAGAAAGAATATCAAGTATAATAATAATAAAGCTAAAAGAAATTATAATAATTTATATTAAAATTAACTTATTTTCTTTTTATCACGTAAAATACACAGCAGTTGTTTTCTTTTTTTTTTCTTGTTTTATGTAAATCAGATATGGTATGGTTTTTTTATCAGCCTTATTAATAACTTGAACCAACCCACAAAATATCATCAAATCGTACCTACCCCATATTAATGGAGGGGTATTTACAAAAGGTGACTTTGACGTTTTCTTGTATCGATATACAAACCTTTATGCATTAATAATAACCCTTTTAATACTTTCAACTTTGCAAATTGATTGTAAGACATATATATATATATATATATATATATAATAGATAGATAGATAGATAGATAGATAGATAGAGAGGAGAGAGATTGTTAAAATATTTATTATAATTTTTAAATGATAAATATTTTTTCAATAAAAATATTATACTTTCGAATACTTCAATAACCCTGATATTAAAAGGATAAATTACACAATAAAAAATAATATAAGAGATAAATAGTTTTAGGAAAGGTTAAAATAACATTTATCATTAAAAATTATATATTTTGGTTGTCAAACTGTACAATTATTTATTTAACTACTTTTAAGTTGTTTATTAATATTTTTTTGGTCGGGTTATATATAATTTTATATCATTTAAAATTAAAGGTAATTGTTTAACAAAATTATTTACTAGTTACTTTAATTTAATTTTTGTAGTAAATATCAAATAAAAAGTATACAATGTTGAGCATAAAAAAAAGACATTTTGCTAGTAAAATATTTTATTAGAATAAAAGTTAGTTTGAATTTGAAGATAAGAAATCTTAAAAACAAAAAGAATATTTTTTAAAACAATTAAAAAGTCTAAAACATTTACAAACAACATTTTTTTCTATTGTTATAAATTTGGAGCTTAGTTGAGAACATATGCAACTTCAAACCTTGTATTCTCTTTTAGCTTTATGGAGGAAAAACACCTTATTCTTTTAATATACAATTCTTATAACAACTCATGTGGACGTTTTAAAAAAAATCATATTTTAATTTTAATTTTCATAGATAATATATATTTTTTATTCTCTTAACTTAATTTATCTTATTATTTTTTTTCAATTTTATTTCATTATCATTATTTTCAATGTTAATTTAGTTTTAATTTTTTTAAAACACGTCAATTATTTTTTTATCATGTTGTTTAATATAAAACAACATAATATTAACATAATTATGATTATGATTATTAACCTTAACATCTATTTTAACTAAATTTATTATCAATATTCCTTAGACAATTTAAAGATAACATTGTTTTACTAAAAAAATTAGAGTTAATTAACAATGTAATAATAAAAAAACAAAACTAAAGTAAAACCATAATGAAATGCACCAACTAATTAAGTTTTTTTGTCCGTATTAATGTATCTCTTATTTTAGTCCTAATAAATTTATTTAAAAATAATAATTTTATGATATTATCATTATTATGTTGGTAATTTATTAACATGTGATGATATACTCATGACAATATCATTATTGCTAATTGAAAAATATAATAATTTATAACATGATTTATTAGTATATATATATAAACAATTACAAATAAAAAATAGAAGAAATAAACAAATAAAAAATAAAGTAAAGACTAATATGGAGCACAAATTTAATTAAGACAAAATGTTATATTTAAATTTACATAAATTAGATATCTAACTTAATCCAGTTAAGTTGGATATATTATTTATTTTCTCTAAAATTAACAACTAATATTAAATGTTTAATTTTTTATTTATTATAAACGTCTCATTGACTTTGTACTCAGAATATAGAAAAATAAAATTAAAATCTTCTTTATCAACTTTATAATTTCATGTTCGGTATTTATCGGTCTTTTAAAGTTTAATTAGATATTTGAACTCTCGCATTTTCTTAAGGCGAGAACATTTAAATTTCATGCCTATCACTTCTATTATCATTTTTAATTAAAAAACATCATTCGTATTCCCTTTCCATCATGTTGTAGAAACAAGTAATCCCCCACTCCATTCATTGATGATTTTAAAAAGAAAAACTTTAATCGTAACTTTACAATGTATTATATACTTTAGTTATTCTGTATAATAAAAATAAAAAAATAAACATAATTGTTTTAGAAACATTAAAACTACAAAAAGATTATAAATTCAAAATGTTAAAATCATCAATATTATTTAATAGTAACATTTTTTTCAGAAGAAAATTTATAATATAAACTTTAAAATATAGAGTTAATTGAGATGAATTGAAAATTGTGTTAAAATAGATTTAAAATTTGTAAATCATAAATTATTGTTTTCCATAAACTCACTGTACTATATTTTTATATATATATATATATATATATATATATATATATATATATAATAATAGAGCGATGATATATTGACCATCCTCTCTTCTTAAATGTTTATTTAATAATTTATTTTTAGATTTTTATATTAATATTTATTTATTTTATTTCATTCTTTTAATCAATTAAAAGAAATTAATATTTAAAATTTGTTTACTGAATATTTGAAAAACTTGTATGTCAAAAAATATTTTCTAATAAGAATAATTTCTTTCCGACATAACGAATATGCTGCTTCTGTCTTAAACAAACTTATGGGTTTGATCTCAGGAAAATAAGAGTATGGTCTAGTAGAAACATGAGACTGAACGGATAAACAAATGAGAATATCAGTGGCACATATTAAAATATACTGTAGTACTTTTAGTATATATTATATTTTTAAATAACGTTTATTAAAAGTTATAAAATCAGGTGAAAAGATATTAAAATAACAGTGAAACTGGTGATAAAATTTATATTTAACTCAATTTTATAAAATTTGATACTATTAATTGGTCATGTGTTAGAAAAGATAAATATCGATATTCATGATGTTTTAATTTATATTCACACTGGAGGCTGGCGTTCTGTGACGTGGCTTGCAGCATCATGCTGCAAGCGTATCCGTCACGTGGAGTTCTCTCACCCTCACATCACTACTATTGTGGGCCCCACTCCCTTCCTCCCTCCACCCTCAAATCAAGAGGAAGCCATCACACCCACACGCTCTCTCTCTCTCTCTCTCTCTCTCTCTCAAATCCCAAACTCGAACCAAAGCCACCATCACAACTTCACAAGTTCACAACCACACCTAAAAAAGGAAAGTAACCAACCTCATGGAAGAGCTCTCCGCGGGGCCTCTCGTCCCCGCCGTCGACAAACCCAACGCTTCCAGAGCAGCCGCCGCCGCTGCTGCTGCCGACACAGGCGCCTCTGCCGCCGCATCCGGCGACACGTTCCCGGCCTCCACGTCGGAGCCGGACAAGGACTTTCTCTGTCCGATTTGCATGCAGATCATCAAGGATGCGTTCCTCACCGCATGCGGCCACAGCTTCTGCTACATGTGCATCATCACTCACCTCCGCAACAAGAACGATTGCCCTTGCTGCGGTCACTACCTCACCAACACCAACTTGTTCCCTAACTTTTTGCTCGACAAGGTTCGCTTCCCTCTCATCCTCATTTCCATACAATACGCTTTCGTCTCATTCCGCAATGTTCGTTTTCGCTAGCGAGTTTTAGTAAACGCTCCTTTTAAGTCAAGAATCGTTTAGTTAATTTTGTGTAATGTGTGGTGGTTTGAGCCTCTAGATCTTTCTGTTAGCAGTTGTAATTACTAATTGCTCCTTGCAATGTTGCTTACTCAAACTTAGTAGCTTTTAGCGTGTAATTCGCTTTCGTCATCTCCTTATTGTTCCGTTGCAATTTTCTCCGAAACTTGAATTGATTTTCGCTTGCGAGTTTTTTAAACCCTGTGTTTAAGTGAAGAATCGTTAAGTTTTTAGCGGAGTGTGTGTTGCGAGTGAAGCTGTGTCGAGTCTCTAGGCATTCTTATGGTGCTTGTAATTGCCTACTGAAACGTCTTAGATTTTAGCGTGTGATTGGAGCGTGATTTTTATCTTCCAAATATATTGGAAATGCAGCTTATTGTTGTACGGTTTTTGTACCACATTTGTAGCTACTTAAGAAGACTTCTGCGCGTCAAATATCAAAAACTGCTTCACCTGTGGAACATTTCCGGCAGGCATTGCAAAAGGTTAGTTGTGCTTTCATTCTTTCTCTTGATTATAATCTGTCAAACATGTAAATTGTGAAACAGTAACAGGTTATGTTGTATTATAGGCTGTTCATCTTACTTATTGTGTTCTGTTAAATTATGAATATAATTCTAGAAGAATTTTTGTAGCATGTTTCTATAATTGGACCATCTACTAACAGTAGCAGATGGAAGAGGATTCTAGTATAGTTGCAGCTGTTTTTTATTTTTTTGGTATAACCAGGAAGTATGATCCCCCTCCTACTGGGTTGGCCCATCTTTGGGTAAATTAGTACTTCCAATTGCAACTCCATGTCCAACCGTTGGTTAAGGTACCAAAGTGTCGAAACCACTTATGCTAACAATATTTGGTCTGAAGCTGGTTTTTAACATTCATTTTGTTGTATATTTATTGCATTGCTTATTGTATATGTCACTAGACTAGATCAAGAATTGAAGTATTGGGTTTAACTCATGTCAGTTTATTGTCTAAAATACTTTAGGAAAGGGTTTTCATAAAGTAGAGGAAAATCAGTTGTATACTGGTTTTTCTTTTGGAATTCATACAACTTAGCATATTGAAGATCACACTCTATTGTTACATATTGATGTTTTACATGAAACTGTGGATATGCGTTGATGTTTTATTTGGTTTATGATTCCTTTTTCTGCTTTTTATGTTTTGAATACAGGGTTGTGATGTCACAATTAAAGAGCTAGACACCCTTTTGTCACTTCTTGCAGAAAAGAAAAGAAAAATGGAACAAGAAGAAGCTGAGAGAAATATGCAAATATTGTTAGACTTCTTGCATTGCTTACGGAAGCAAAAAGTTGATGAGTTGAAGGAGGTGAGGTGGCTGTGTAGCCATTATTTTCCATTTTTCTTTCTTCTGTTTTCGGTAGTTGGTCTTTATTTTAATATTGATTTATGTTACATTTATCTCTACTTATTGCAATGATTGGTGTTGCATATTTCATTTGTAGGTGCAAACTGATCTCCAATTTATAAAAGAGGACATTAATGCTGTGGAGAAACATAGAATGGATTTGTATCGAGCACGGGACAGGTACTCTGTAAAATTGCGGATGCTTGATGATTCTGGTGGAAGAAAATCATGGCATTCATCCCTGGAAAAGCACAGCAGTGGCCTTATATCTAGTCCGCTAAATCTTCGAGGAGGCTTGTCTTCAGGGAGCCATACTAAGAAAAATGATGGAAAGTCCCAAGTTAGCTCTCACGGGCAAGGAGTTCAGAGAAGGGATGCCCTCACTGGATCAGATTCACAGCTTATAAATCAATCGGGTCTTGTCCTAGTTAGAAAAAAGAGAGTCCATACACAGGTTTTCTTGATTTAATATTTCATGCTTAAAATTCTACATTTCTATTTTATTTCTATATGAATTGGTTTCAGATATTTTATTAAAAGCTTTTTGCCATAGAATAAGTTTATTTTCATGGCAGGTAAAAGAATTCATAATTTTGTAAAAACTTGAAATTTTTGACTTTGGAATTTTTCGAAAAATTGAAATCTTGGTGAATCCTTTGTACCAGCGAAAGTAGTTCTGCAATTTTTCATAAACATATCCAATTCAAATGTACGCACAATACTGTGAGAATTTTACTGGTTAATCAGCACATGTGAGCTAAGACACTTCAATTTTTTATATTTACCTATTATGTGGTCATTTATGTTGGCACAAGCTTCAGAATTAATGTTGCTATGGCCAATATTAAGATAGACTTAGACTTAACTTCCAAGCTGTTTGTGGTTGTACAGAACTTAGAAAGACAGTTACAATTTTAGAATGTGTGAAGGCTAAAATGAGTTTGTGGACATGAGAAAAGGTAGAAATCTTGGTTTTTTAATTTTTAAAGCTGTATGTTAGGTCGATATTGACTAGGGATGGCTTGTATGCGAAAAGATGGTAAGCAAATGTCAATACGAAGCTCCTGTGAACTATGTGTGTGGGCAACAACTTTATTGTTTGAATGAAGACAAAGGAGGAAAAATAAGAAATGATTTGAAGTTGTGTAAGTAGGGTATATTAATGAGTTCAGCAAGGAAACAGATTTAAATGATACTTGTGACATTCAAAGAAAAGTAAAATTGATGACAAAAAGATATAGATTAGGAATCATGCTTTAAGATCCAACTTTATTATGATCATACTGTACATTGACGCAAACTAAATTTGCTATGAACTAATGAAATTCTCATTGATCTAAAGACCATTACATATACATTAGTTGTGCATTTAATGCATTAAGCACAATATATCTAATTCAATACCCCAGGCTTAGTTTCTGAGACTATGATTAGAATGAACTAATTAAGACAGACACAAATATCAATGCATCATAATAAAATTTCTCAAGATCCAAATTTGAAATTGAATCCCAATTAGAATGAATGCCTTAACTTATTTATCACTCATAGAAATTACTAAATGCCATAAAAAAACAGAGCCAGCTTATAGCAGAGTAGTTTCTTTATCAAGAACTTAATTATTAAGTCATGAATTTGGTGAAGAATTTTAGCATATGCCTTTTCTTTTGATCACTAAATTTGCATATACAAAATTGGCTTATTTTTCCTATCTGAATTCTCTTTGATTTCCTTAATATGCTCCAGTTTAATGACCTACAAGAATGTTACCTACAAAAGCGACGACATGCAACTGATGAACCCCATATCCAACAACAAAGAGATATGAATCTCATAAGTCGAGAAGGTTATAGTGCTGGTCTTGAAGATTTTCAGTCAGTCTTGACAACTTTCACACGCTACAGGTATAGTTATCAGTCATTTTCTGTAGTTTTAAATATACATTCAAATATTTTTAGGACTTGAGGGTCAAAGGGTATTTTGCATTAGGAGTGAACAGGAGTCAAATTAGTTCGGATCAGTTAAGACAGCTGTTAGATAATTAGAGGAGGTTCAATTAGATTGCCTTGTTTCTGTAGGCACGCACTGCTTTGTAAGGAAGAAAGTAGGCATATAAGAAATTGTATTTTGTATTAACTAAGCAAGCTCTCCTTGCTCTTTTCAGTTCCATGTCAATAAATAAGTTGATCTTTCATTTCTCCCTTTCTTGATGGGGTTCTTAATAAAGATACTGGTGACAATATCAATTACTATTTATTATATTTAGTTAGCAATATGCAATTATCTTTAACCTTTTGCTTCACTTGAAACAGTCGATTGAGAGTCATTGCAGAACTAAGGCATGGGGATATATTTCATTCAGCTAATATAGTGTCAAGGTGAGTTATTTTTGAAATTTCTTATAGAACAGTTGATATTAATTGCTTGCATTTTGTTCGGTTCCAACCTCTTGTCAGTTATTGCATTGTGGTTGACATAACTCATAAAACCATCGTATGGGTAAACTTTAATCGAAAATTTTATTTTAGTCAGTAATCTATGGTATCGAAATATTATGATAATGCATTCCATCATTTTGATTCTAATCGTTGGGATGAAATTCTTTTTCTCCTTTTTATTATTGATTAGTGCAAATGAATTTTAAGCTATATTTGTACACGTGACTTATTTATCATCACTGCCCTGACTTAAGTTGAAATCTCTGTTTGGTAGAAAGAAAAGCAACAGAGGGAGTGAAAAAAAAAAGACAAAAAAGAGAAATAGATGTGAAATGAGTAGAAAGAGAAGTTGCTTGGTTGTAAAGAAATGAGTGGACAGAAAGATTATTATACTAGAGATGAACAAAAATTTAATTCTTAGAGGAACTGATTTACCCACATAAGTTCACGAGTAAGAGATGCTATTGCCCGGTATGAGCTTCAACAATTGATTGAGCAACTACATTTTGTTTCTTGCTTTTCCAAGAAATGATATTTCCTCCAAGGTAAATACAATATTCGGTGGTGGAGTGTCTGTCCATAGGAGATCTTGCCCAATCAACATGACAATACCAAAAAACTTGAGTATTTTCTTTATCTTCATATAATAAGCCTAGTCCAGGAGCTTTTTTATGTATCTTAGGATACAAATGACAACATTCCAATGATCTATACAAGGAACATGCATGAATTTACTCACAACACCTACTGCGAATGACAAATCAGGTTTAGTGATAGTAAGATAAATAAGTTTTCCCAACCAGCCTTCTATATCTTTCTGGGTTAGAGAAAACTTCCCCCTGTTTTGACTATTTTCTATCTGTTTTGTTCATTATATGACTCCAGTATTGGACAACTCTCTACCTGGGCTATTAAGTGTGTTTTCTTGGGTTATCCCCATCTTCAAAAAGGATATCGTTACTATTCTCCTAAAACCAAGAAATATTACATGCCCGCCCATGTTACCTTTTTTGAACAAACTTTTTTTTTTTCATCTGTCTAAGATGTTGAGTCTATCCAATAGGTCCTTCCTATACCATTGATTGAGTCTCTTGCTCCTTCTTCTAACCCATCATCTCCCATTCAGGATGTGCCTGCTCCATTTGTTCTACCTCTTATTGCTTACCAAAACAAGACACAGATGAGCTAGATCCAAAGTAGTAGAGACCTTTAGATTCATGTTTTTCTCTAATTAGTCGACCCGTCCCACGTTCTAGTATAACAAAAGAATTAACATAAAAGGTGTCAGAGCAATTTAATGATTTTGTTAGCTGATTTAAAGAAATGAGATTAAAAGAACAGGCAGGGATGAAAAGAACAAATGTTTAGTGTAAGGTAGGAGAAAAGGATATTTGGTCAATTCCTTGAGAAGCAACTTTGGATCTATTGGCTAGGGTTTTAAAACGTTGATTTTTAGAATAAGAAAGAGAAGATAATATAGAGGTATTATTAGAAATATGGTTAGAAGCACCTAAGTTAATAATCCATGGACGTTGACCCTCCACAGATTGTGAAATGCAGGTAGTTAACTGTTGGGTCTTTTGAGGAGGGATTCATAGGGGAGAAACACACTAATGAGACAATGAGTCCAACTCATATAAGCATTGACACCACTTTCAACCCAAAACCTTAAGGCATTAGGTTATGATTTTTTCTTCCTTATATGTTGCTCAACTTTCTCATTCTTACACAATGTAGGATTTAAACTTACACTTGTATTTCTTAACAATCTCCCCCTTAAGTGTAAGTCCTCCACATTATGTACCCATCGAACTCACTAGTGGTCCTTTCATATATCGTCGTTTACTCTAACAGGACACACTTACCTGACCCACTTTGTCAGAAAGACTTTCGATACAAAGACTACTCTGACTCACTACCGATCAACCTTTGGCTCTGATACCACTTGTTGGGTCTTTCGAGGGGGATTCATAGGGGAGAAACAACACCAATGAGACATGAGTCCAATCCACATAAGGATTGATACCACTCAATCCAAAACCTTAAGACATTGGATTATGGGTATTTTTTCCTTATATGTATTTCAATTTTCTCATTCTTACACAATGTGGGACTTAGATTCACACTTGTATTTCCTAACATTAACATGCTGGGAGTTGAGGCTAGACTATTAAACTTCAACCTCAAATATTCCTAATATTCCTCGTCAAAAAATTATGGACGGGTCTAGAGGTCATTTCTGACCCGAAGGAGATAAGACAACACACAAATGGAGAAAAACATATAAAGGAACCCCCAAACAGACAGCGGGCAGTGACGGCAGCGGGCGACGGTGACAGCAAATGACAGCAGTGGCGGTGGCAGGGGCCGACAACGACTGCGGCAGGTCAAACATAACCAGAACAGGCTAAGCAGGATAAACTAGGCTCTAATACCAACATGAGAGGAAAAAAGAGAAATATTATAATGTTTGGGTGTGTCTCCACAACCCAAATCACCTCATATTTATAATGGAAGGTTGTAGAGATACATTAATTAGAGGGGAGATGGAAAGATTAACTTCTAGAAGATACAATTCTAGATACAACTAATTAATATCAATCTAGTAAATATAAATCATGTGTATATTTATTATAATAATGAAAAGAACAAAAGAAATAGCCCATAATCGACTATTTGTGTCCATAACCGATTTTTTTCTACAAAAGAATGTTGGATACTCATTTTAGCAACATAATTGATAATGTTGCTCTGAATGACAATTTCCATGCATTTCTTCGCTCCCCTGCATGAAAAGATGATGGTGGGATCCATCCTCTTCTTTCTTATGTTTCCTAAACCCTAAACCAAATCATCACACCTTCCTCCATTTCTCCTCCTTCTTCCCAAGCACAATGGAAAAGTCAATGTTCTTTATCATCATCTTTCATCTTTTATTTACTAAATTTCTGGTCATTATTGAGGTCATACACTATCATATATTTGTGGAAGGATTATAAAGATTTTACATCATTATGTAATAGGTATTGTGATAATTATACAAAAGATACCTGACATGAAAGAATACCTATTGCAAGTAAAGAATACAACTACAAAGAAGAAATCTATATGAATTCGTAATCTCTCAGAAATATACTCTAAACGATTTGAACCCTTATTTTCTCCCTCTTTTTCTAATTGAATTATTGCAATCGAATGCACATATTTATATTACTGCACATGCTAAGGAATTATTGGTAACAGAGGACCCTAGTTTGTAACCATCCATGATAAGTGGCTTCTATCCATTTTCTAGAAATAGTATTAGAATAGAAAGAAAAATCTTATTGAATCTTTGAATGGAGAATTGTATTGTCCAAGCTTGACTATTCTCTGCTCTGATCTTGTCCGGGAATATGCTGAACTGTAAGTTTCTTTGCTGAAACCTTTTCTCTAACAAAGAAAAGATCTAGTTCCATATGTTTTGTCTTGGCATGTAGAATAGGATTGTGAGAAAGCTTAATAACACTAAGATTATCACAGAAAACCTCTAGGAGTTGAGATATAGCAATTTCAGTAAATAGAGTTTGTATCCACCAGAGAAGTTCAACAGTAGCAGAGGCAAGGTTTCTACATTCTGCCCGAGTGCTTGTTCTACCGACAACAGTTTTCTTGCGAGACCACGAAGAATCCAAATTTGGGTCAAAGAAAAATAGCAATTGGTGATCATCTGGATCAGCAGTCCAATCCACATCACAATAGGCTTGAATTGTTAAAGGTGTACGAAGATTAGCTGGACGAATATGAATACCACAATGCAGAGTACCTTTTAAGTATCTATGCATCCTTTCGACAGGAACCCCAATGAGACTCAAGGATTTGTTGTAAACTGACAAACTTTATTCACTGAAAAATATATTTCAGGAATGGTAAGTGTTAAGGTTCCAACATAAAACCAATTGGCAATATGTGGATTAGCCTAATATGTATTTAAATCATACCAAATGACATGAGGTAGGCGATGCGGGACTTTCAACACACCCCCTCCAGCGAAGCCTAGATGTTAGGCTTTGGCTCTGATACCATGTTAAGGTTCCAACATAAAACCAATTGGCTATATGTGGATTAGCCTAACATGTATTTAAATCATACCAAATGACATGAGGTAGGCGATGCGGGACTTTCAACAGTAAGATATTGAAAAACACTAACAACTGATCTTTAAAACAAAGGACCTGGCAACAGATCCGAGCCTTGTTTGGACAGTTTGCCACCTGAAATCATGGAAGACAATAATATAGGCTTAGCTTCAAGCATGTTTGTCTTTGCAAGAAGATCTTTAATATATTTTGTTTGAGTCATAAGAAGAGATTCATTAGGCCAAGGATGCACTTCTATACCAAGAAAGTAGTCAATATTACCAAGTTGCTGGATTGAAAAAACTGAAACCAGCTCTTTGATAAGATGTTGAAGAAAAGTTGAAGTGTTGCCTAAGATAATAATATCATCAACATGTACCAGTAATTAGACAACATAGGTGGAGCTTAAAAAAGAAGGATCACATTTTCTGACTTTAAAACCAAATTGAAGTAAAGTAGTTTTGAGTCTATAAAACCAAGTACGTGGAGCTTGTTTAAGGCCATAAATGGCCTTGTGAAGTCTGCAAAACAAGAGATGTTTCAGCTCTTTCAAACCCAGGTGGCTGAGTCATATACATCATCAAGAAAACCATTGAGAGATATTGTGAACATCCAATTGAAAAATAGACCAGTGGCAAGAGCTAGAGTAAGTATCAGATATATAGGAACCGGTTTAATAAGTTGAGAGAAAGTTGCAATGAAATCAAAGCCTGGTTGTTGATTAAAGCCTTTGATGACAAATTGTGCTTTATATCTAAGAACATATCCGTTGGGACTTTCTTTAACCCCAAAGACCCATTTGCAACCTACAGCAGTTCTGTGTTATGGGAGAGGAGGAACATTTTGTTGAAGAGCAAAATTTCTTCCTTCATAGAAGAGAGCCATTCTGGATTGTGATTAGCTGGCTTGGTTGTAGTCAGTACTAAGTGAGCAAGAAGTATAGGATGAATTATGGGTTGTATAATACCATTCTCTGACAGTTTGCACTGGATAAATATTAGAATATCTGGATGCTTCATTAGAAACATGATTGGATACAGATGGAGATATAGGTGAAGGGTTTGAAATAGGTTCAATGAGTGGTAAAAGTATGGGTGATAAAGATTGTGTTTATGATGAGATTATTGGGATGTTGGATGGAACAGGAGGAGAAAAAGAAGGTGTGGATGAATGGGTTCAAGAGTTCAGAGTAGGGGAACTTAATTTCTTTAAAAATGTCTTTAATAATGTCAAGTGGGCTAGAAGAAGATAGGCATTTATAACCCTTGTGAGATATCAAGTATCCAGGGAAGAGATATTCTTGAGATCAAAAATCCAATTTGTGTGCATTATATGGTCTGAGAAAAGGGAAGCAAGTGCATCCAAAACTCTAGAGAAATCCAGCCAGATATTGTCTTGAAAAGAAGAATGCATGGTACAAAAAAGTTAGCAGAAGCAGAAGGTAAATAGTTTATAAGGTAAACTGCTATACTGGCTGAGAATAGGTAGACCCATTTCCACAATATGGCGTAGCTTTCTTTCAATGTTACCATTCAGATGATGACATATGGTTTTATGATCAATGACAATAGAAATGAGATAATCATGAAAAGGGTGAAATTCACCTCCCGAGTCAGGATGCAAAGCTTCTTTCTGATTGTATTATTTTCTTGCAATAGAGATTCTTTCTTTGTCATCTATCTTTTGTATAATTAAATCTCTATGTCAAAGACAATTTGTTGCAAAAATAGGTTTATTGAACATGTTAGAAGTACTGTAGAAGGTTACGTGGAGTCTGAGCTTACAGTTCTTTTTTGTTCTGATATCTCTCTTCTGTCTTAATCTGACATTGGCCTTATTTTTGTTTGGGTACCTCTTGGTAATTAGAATGCTTTCTCGCACTTAACTTCCTTACCTAACCGAAAAAGAAGTAAGCCATGCCAACTAAATTTTTAACCTCTTCCCTTTTAAAACATTCTTCAATTAATGAATCCCCTTGTCATGTCTATGTTGGTAAGACGACACTAGTTTTCTCCCTTCCCAACATAAATATCTAGCATTTGCCTCAATTTATTTCCTTCCATTTCTACTGATTAATCTCTAGGTCCAATTTGAATGGCAATCAGTAACTATAATACAACTCTTTCTAGCCATTGGTAGCTCCACTTTCTTTTTGTGCTGGCATTGGGATTGGATTGTTTCATGCCTGTGCAGAGATCAGGGTTGCTGTTCTTGTACAGGGTTGCTGTTCTTGTACCTATGATTTGTCAAGAGTTGGAAGCAACACATTTTATTGCTTCTCAGAAAATGTTGTTCTTGAAAGTCGGCATGGCCCAGTGGCGGATCTTCTTGGGAGCTAAGGGGGGCCGTGGCCCCCCCAAAGTTTTATAACTCCCATGTAATTTATGATTTTGGCCCCCCCAAACTTAATAAATATTTAATATATTTACTTGTATATTTACAATTCTATCCTCTCAGCCCCTCCTCAATTTTGTAACTCCCATGTAATTTATGACTTTGTCTCCCTCAAACTTAATGATCATTTAATATATTTAAATATATATCTACAATTTTATCCTTTTACCCTTTCATCTTCTTTCTTCCTTTTATATTTATTTATTATTTATTAATAATATATTATTTTATATTTATTATTTATTAATAATATATTATTTGGCCCCCCCAAGATCAATGGTCAAGATCCGCCACTGCCGCATGGCTGTTGAAATATATTCATACCTCTAGTTTTTTCTGTCCTTGAAACAATCCAGTGTTGTTTAGATGCTTTATTAATTGCATAGTTTCTCAATATATAAATCTAGACTTTGTGCAAAATCCCTCGATGGTCAGTACACCAATATCCATTGATGAACTGTGGTGTCTGCTTGTCTGGATATGTATTGGAACAGTATTATGTTCTTTGATTGGAATTTCGGAATGTAGTTTGTGTAATGGGCATTTGTTCAAGTCTTTTTTATGTAAAGTTAGTGTATAATAATGCCCTTGTTACCATATTGATTATCAAATTTTAGGTCTTGATTTGTCAGGTACTATATCATGACAGCGTTATATGTGGGTCATACTGACACTAGCTCTTCATACATCACATTTTATGATGGAGATAATTTATGTTGAAATAATAATATTAGACAGTGACAGACAAGTAGGCTTTTATTTTAAATGCAGATATCCCTTCTCTTACTTCTATTGTTGTTTTAAATATATGAAGTCTGGAAGAATAAACTGTATCAATGGAATAAAGCAATCATATTACATTTATAATTATATTTTCTTATTAATACTATATTTTCTGAATGCATGATTTAACATTTATATTGCAGCATAGAGTTTGACTGCGATGATGATTTATTTGCTACTGCTGGAGTTTCCAGGCGCATCAAAGTTTTTGACTTCTCTGCTGTAAGATGGATGCCATTTTACTTCTACTTATATTTTTAATATCATTTTTTACTTATTCTCTTTCGATTGTTAATGTTAACACTTATGTAAATTGTGTTTTTATAGACTGTTAATGAATATTTCATCTTAGGTGGCAAAGGGGGAGCATTCATATAGTTTACCTGGAATAAAATATATTCCTCTTATGAATTGTGATTACCAAAGTTTCACTGATACTATTACATTAATACCAATTTATCTTCTTTAATTCAACTACAAAAATTTGTTCCCGGGAAAAGTTTTATTCTTCTCTTGATATTTCACAGGACATATTAGTAACCCTTCATGGGACATAGAATAAAAAAGAATAGAGTTTCACATACTTTATTTAAAGTGGAAGCATTATTTTATTTCCATCTCCTTGAGCATTTGAAATCATTTGATTTATGATTTTTTTTTTGTTAAATTTTATTGTACTATAACTAAATGTATCTATACAACCAAAGTAGGAAATTTGCTGCACTATATGTAATATGATGCTTTAGGAAACTAGCCATATGTTTTCTGGAAAATTTTTATACTGTGTAAGGGTTCATCCTTGAAATGTATCTTTTAAACAAATAGTAATAGGTTATGGATACAAAATAATCATTCCCTATATTATTGCTTCCCAGGTTGTGAATGAACCCACAGAAGCTCATTGTCCGGTTGTGGAGATGTCTACACGTTCAAAACTTAGTTGTTTGAGTTGGAATAAATATGCTAAGAACCAAATAGCAAGCAGTGATTATGAAGGAATTGTGACTGTCTGGGATGTAACCACTAGGAAGGTAAAAGTTGAATTTGAATGGTTAGTTTATTCTTGTATCAGCTGATCTGGTGTCTTGATTCATTAATATTGTTTTGTTTGTCATATTCTTGTTTAAATGTTTTACATATTATTTATACATGGCTATATTTTTGTCTGTGACAGAGTTTAATGGAATATGAAGAGCATGAAAAGCGAGCATGGAGTGTTGATTTCTCGAGAACAGATCCCTCTATGCTTGTATCTGGCAGTGATGACTGCAAGGTAAACTAAAACATTTATCTGAAAGTTTTGATGCCTATTTACCTGGATTGCCTGCATAAATTTCAAGATTTTTGCAATGAAACATACTTAACAAATGTTTTTGACATATTAATGTATTAGATAAACTTCACTATTTGTTGTATAATCCTAATCATAGTTTTGAGTTTTAAAAAGTTTGTCCACTTTTTGCACTTTGCTCAATGTAACGTGTCTTTTCTTCAAGCAGGTCAAAGTTTGGTGCACAAATCAGGAAGCTAGTGTTCTAAATATAGACATGAAAGCAAACATATGCTGTGTCAAGTATAATCCTGGATCTGGCAATTATATTGCAGTATGTACCTTTCTTTCAATTAAAATATAAAAGAAAATATCTAAATTTAGTTTGATCTAGGGTTGATGCTATTTATATTATCCTGTATTTATTATGCAGCTGTGAACATGTGATGTTTGACATTTCAAAGCTATGTACTCTATATTTACTTTATTATAATTAATAATATTTTCTCAAGAAACAATTCTTTTATAATAGTTTGTGCTCAGTGTACTTAATAGATAATTGTTATATCCACATGATTGCTTTTCTTGTTTGTCCATATATATATTTTGGGTCATGCATTTCAGAATTTTACTTATAAAAAATATTCAACTAATTGCTGCATATATACAAACTGGTATTTAGTATATCAGTGCACAATGTATAAATATTATTGATAATTATTATGAATATCATTTTAATAATTAATAATAAATATGTATCAACATCAGAATTATAAGTATTTAAAATATATTATGATAATCTGATATCAAATTTCAATGATTCACTTTAACTTATTTGCTTCATGTAATAAATTAATGATTAATTATCTTACTTATCTGTTACAATTTTGATATATCTAATATAATGCATTTTCTATATATTTATGTAGGTTGGATCAGCAGATCATCACATTCATTATTATGATTTGAGAAATATTAGCCGTCCAGTGCATGTTTTTAGTGGGCACAGGAAGGCTGTTTCATATGTGAAATTTTTGTCTAATTATGAACTTGCTTCTGCATCAACAGATAGTACATTACGATTGTGGGATGTGAAGGACAACATACCAGTGAGTAATATTAACAAAATGATTTTTAATTGATTCTTAACAAATTCATTTTACATTTAATGTGTGGATCATGTGGACTTTTGTTTCTTAACTAAACTCTAGTCTTCAATCTGTCTCTAGAAGTTACATGCCACACGATAATTTTATACTGAAAATCTAAACATTGTCAATTCTCTAATTTTTGGATGCACACCGATATCATATTTATTTGTAACTCACTTCTGAGTACCAATATTAATACACCAATATCATATGTATTGGGTAATATAAATGTATTATGATTTTAACACAATTGTGTACAGGTTCGAACTTTCAAAGGCCACGCAAATGAGAAAAATTTTGTTGGTCTCACCGTTAGCAGTGAATATATTGCGTGTGGGAGTGAAACAAATGAAGTTTTTGTCTACCACAAGGTTTATGTTGTTTAATTACGTGTGTCTTTCTTCTGCATTTACTTTTTACTTAAACTGATTCTATCACCCTGTGCAGGAAATCTCCAAACCTTTGACTTGGCACAAATTTGGGTCCCCTGATATGGATGACGCCGAAGAAGAGGCTGGATCATACTTTATCAGTGCTGTATGCTGGAAGAGTGATCGGCCAACTATTCTAACTGCTAACAGTCAAGGCACCATTAAAGTGTTGGTGCTTGCAGCTTGATCATGAGCAAAATGATTAGAATGTGTAATTGGTATTATTTTTTCCCATGCTATGATTGTATCATTTGTTAATTGTACATAGTATTCAAATGTATATGGCAGGCTTTAGGATCCAAACGAAATACTAGTTGAGGACTGTAATCTGAATTGATAAATCAATTAAGGGATCGAACTTTAATTTTTATCAATTGAACCTTAAATGTACTAAAATTTTGTACTAAAAGAGATCAATTTTGACATATGATAGTAATAATAATACCAAAGCTAGTGTACATGACTCAAATTTACAAATTCGTACTAATTATTATTACTATTTTGTTAAAGTTGAAATCTTATCAAAATAAATTTAACATATAAATCTTAACATTAAAGTCTCCCTTAATTGGTTATCAAATGAAGACGAGGGGAACACTTGTTGAGGGTACTCATTATGTGATATTATTACTAATTATTATTTACTTCCATCATCATTGTTTGAATTTATGTAGTATTAAAACTTAGAAGTGTTTTTTTTTCTCTTTTTTTATAAATTATTGATTGTTATGTGAAAAAAAATAAAGAAATGAGCAGAAAGAAAATATTCATATAAAATTTTCTATATTTTTTAATAAATAATTTTTTTCTCTATATATAATAATTATTATGTTAACAAATTTAGTTAAAAAGACACCAATAAAAAATCTTATATATGTATAAAATTGCACAAAGTTGTAAAATAAATAATATAAAAAAAATGTTTTAAAAGTTTTTGTTAATAGGATGTAAATGGATCGCATTCATTTTTCTTATTATCTTTTACAAGGTATCATGTATGCCTTGATCAGTAGCTGAGAGCTTGAGAGACATACATGTGAGGGTGACACATACCACACTTGTTTTCTCTATGCATGGTCTCTCAAAATTTTCAATTAGCAGAGGTTATAGTCTTTTCACCTCATTGCCACTTTTATTAGCTGAATTACGAATGCTGCTGCATTGGGTTTTATATCCATCCTCCCCTCTTCTCTCTTCTCTGTAGTTCTACCTAGTATCAACCATTAGAACTATCATAAAACATAATATAGAGAACATCAGGATTGTAAAATCAACTTTCTTATTTTTTATCTTTAAAATGAATATTATTCAACTAATTGCTAAACACCTCAGATCTGTGAAGATTCACTATCTCTTGCTGCCTTAGCCAAAATAAGTTATCTCTTAATTATGTTAACATATTTTAGGGTGACATATTTGATTTTAACTGTTAGCTTATTGAATCAAACCACCTGAATATTTGCAGTTAAATAAATACTCACTATGAGAAAAAATTTCAATGTTCCTCCTTTCTCATCCATAAATATTTCACCAACTTATAATGTTTTTATAATTTTTTCTGTAATTCTATTTTTTTTCATATTTCTGTATCAAAATTAACTTCAGTTATTTTTTTTCTTTTTTTTCTCTCATTATGAAAAATAAATATGATCATTTCTAAAGAAAATAATTAAACATATAGTTTGACAATTAATTTTTAATTTAGCACTACTTTGAAAAAAAAATTGATACTGAAAAAAAATAAAAAATTCTGGAGCATACTATTTTTTAATGTTTATGGAAACACAACTTGCATTTTTTTTTTTTTAATTTTCTTTTAGCTATTGTTATTGATAAGAATTGTAATTTTGGATGTTAGGAGATCAAGGTTACAAGTAAAAGGAGACAAATATACGATAACATAAACCATTCCTTATATTCACTGCTTCCAGCTTACAAAGAATGTGACATTTATTGTAGAAGCTCCATATACATAAATATATATATAAATGAACTACAAGTTCAAAGGAAAATAAATAAACTACAAGCTCAAAGGAGGGATAGCATGGAATATTAGATTCCAAAAAAATTCTAACTACTTTATTATATTTTATATTTTTATGAACAAGTTACAAGTAATCTTCGTCCCAGTACTGAATTTTTGGACTTGCAAGGTCAAGAAAACTTGAACATTATTCATAAAATTTTAAAAAATAAAACAAAAATATAAGAAGAATAAGCTCAGGAGAGATACCGCCGGAACATCTAGCACATTTTTGGACTTGAACTTGGAGTATTGTGACCTTGACTATGAGGGGTCATGAGAAAGAACTCCAAGACCTTGCCCTGCATTGGACAAGACATGGTGAAAACCTGGACAAAGGTTGTTCAAGTTGAGCCGAGGGAGAGTTTCTTGAGATTTCAGCTCTTGAACAGTGGCATGAGATGTGGGAGTGAGGGGAGCTATATATAACGAAAAACTCGGTCGAGTCAGCATGGTCACACGATAATAAATAAATTAAAAAATGGAAAGCGAAAGAAAATATTATAAATGAAAAAATTGCAAAAAAAAGACATGAAACACAGAGGCCGTGAATATAAATGATGATTACCTGCACATAAAATTAGGGTTGATGTGTCCCTTTCTAGCTAGGGTGAGACAGGAAGGATAATGAGAGTTTGTTTTCTTGGGATTCAAAAAATGAACCCACTATTCCTGCTCGGACACGGACACTCTGTCCTCTTAAATTATGATGTCAGGTTCTGCTGACATTCTCTTCCTACCAAACTGCAAAATATATTGGTTTCATTTTGAACGGTGAAGGGTTTTGTTTCTTCAGCTCTTCAATCTTGTATTATCATATCAGTACCATCTTCCTTGTTTTGCTACCTACAACTTCTCCCACTCTTTAATTCCAAACTTTAATCTTAATCATCCACGTAACTTACTAATCATTCATGCATTAATTTTACTATGCTCACTACTGATTCAAAATTATACTATTGAAGTTATTGATAAGCTGCATTGGTTTATGTATCTTCAATGAAAATTAATCTTTGATTGTTGGAGGTAGATAATACCATCCTATATGTTCTTTGAGTGATCAAAACATTTTGAAACATTTTGTGATCAACACAACAATAGTTTACATGCTATTTTTGTTTCATTAACTTGGTCTCCATGGAAATGAATATGACAACTTATGATATAACAATTTGCTCACAACTCTACTTGGGTATTTAACCTTAAACATAAGAAAACATGATATCTGAGTCTTGAAGGTGACGAGACTTCTAAGAGCTAACACCCCAGTCTACTACTTATGTTTGTGCATATGAAGATACTTATGTACGTGAGTTATATAAGTAATTATTTGTCTATTTTAGTAATTAAAGGACAGTTGAAAATCTTAAAAAATTACAATGGTATTTTACAATTTTAAAAACTTTGGTGTTTCTAAGTTTATTGACTCATTAATCTATCATTCTTTTTTATTTGAAGCTTATACGAGTGAAAGATGCTCCTTATTGTTTATAAACTGTCACCTATAACTTTCAATTTAATATTTGCAGCATGTTTTGGGATGTATGGAGTGGTTAAATTGTTAAATAAGTATTTATTATAATTGATAAAATTTAAAGTTTGGACATTTTCTTCAAAGAATAAACTTTTATTTTGAAAAAAAAAAATACAAAACACTAACTTGATTGGTGTGCAAGATATCGATGTATGTAGAGAAATGGCTAAATCTTTTAGATATACACCACATTCGATGTGTAACGGCGTTTACCATTTAAGACAGTAATATCATGAGGTGGTAACAAATCCTATAAAACTCAAATGATTTTCTATGTCAATTAATATTATATCCAATATAATAAATAACGTTTGTTATGTTGCTTATATTCAGGTTTATAAAATCGGGTAAAAAAATAATAATTTGTCCCATATTACCAAACTTTGTGTAAATTTCTTTTAAGACTTTATGTTAATTATCAACCCTTTCAATTCAATTAATTTCTAAACATTTCAGTATAATTTTGTTGATAAAAGTTCATTAATAAAATCAATAACCCCATAATAACTAATTATCCTAATTATTTTATTAATATAACTTTGATTTCATTAATAAAATCGATAATCCCATTATACTTAATCATCCAAATTACTTTATGTATCATAATAATTGTAGTTTTAATTTAAAAAATTATAAGTATTCTCATATTTCAATATACACTACTTATTAGCTTTCTGAAATATTTCAAAATTAGTTACCCTAATATTCGGAATCAAAATAATTTATTGATAAAAAAGTTGTTCTTTTAATATTATTTTTCAAAAGATAGCTCATATATATATATATATATATATATAAACTTTATGATTTTTTTTATTTATGTCTCTATGAACTAATTATCTTTAAATAATTTGAAGTTATACTTTAATAAAAATTAATTTATCTAAAAGCGGTATGTATGTTGGATACTTTTATTTGTCTATTTTATTTGTTTTTTTACCAAATCAATTTAGTTATACAGATACTCCATCCATTTTTTTTATATAATTTATTTCATCATGTCTTTATAAAAATAATAAAAAATTAAATTACAGATTATAATAAGAATATTTTGAACAGTTCCTGTGATAATGGTAAAAGAAGAAAATTTGTTTGTTCTTTCAAAAATTAAGATTCATACCAAGTCCACTGAAAAACTATTGAGAGATCAATCATAGTTATTTAACTTATTGGAACGTTAGTATATTGATGATAGTTTTGACTTTTGACCATTGAATTTACTCTGTGCAAGGTTTTTAACCATTCCTTATTCGTCAAACCTCTGTATATCAATCCAAGAAACATTTACTTTTATGGGATCTTCTACCATGCTGATTTTTTACTCAGCTGGAAATCACAGACTTTGTTTTTACCCATTTAAACTTTATTTTAGTTTCTTCTTTTTTTGTTCATTTTGAACACAAAAACTTAGTCGTTTTATTTGAAGAAACAAATCCTATAATCTTCTATCCAACGAACATAAACTTTTTTCTGTTAAAAAAAACATTTTACATTAAAATAAATTTGGTTGATTGTATATTTTATGTACTTTCTATGAATTCTGAAATCATCAATACAAAATATGAAAATTTAGGTAAAATGAAATGGAGAAAAGCATACACATGCAAAGGCATTAACTGTGAGTCCTTTGATTTGAATGGGGCCATGCATGCGGTGCATTTGTGTAATTGGACATTGCAAATGAAGAGGGCTGGCACTTACATAGCAGATTACAGGAGCAGAGAGGAAAATGCATAACTTGTTGGATTTTTGGTTCCTTACCATTCTGATTGACAGAGAAAGAACATAAACAAAACCCTATGAACTTAGCTACAAACGGATCTCCCCCACCAGTCCTACTTTACTGAATGTTGCTTTTGTCCCTTTGCCTGCTATTTCCAAATTCACATAAAGCAAAGCTCAAAGCCCTAATTTTCATGTCTTATGTAATAACTCTACGTTGCAGATTCATAATTGAGCCTGCACTGCATCGTGAGGTCAATCTCAAATGGGGTTTCCCATTAAATGAATATATTTTTTCAAGAAAAAGATAAATAAGTATATGGATGAAGTATATAATATTATAATGTATGATTTTTGAATGAATAATAGAAGGGTAACAGTGCATGGTTGGGGACCAGTAAATGTTTACCTTGGTTGTAGTACTGAGACACTGACCAATTTTGGATTTCTGGAGTGGGTCTGAAACAGTGTGGGGTATTTTAATTCCCAAACTCAGTGCTCTAACTGATCACCTTTTACTGCCTGATTCCAAACCTCGTGAAGTCATCATGAAATTTTAACGCCATGCTAGGTCAACCCTGAATTAGTTTTCACCTACTCATTCTGTTAAAAATTCAATGACCTACTCCCTCCGCTCAGAAATTTGGTGGAAATTTAATACTAACCACTTTCACACTTTGCTTAGGGTGACTCTGATAGATAATGCAGTACAACAACAATGCTACCTACTAATTGAGATTACAAAAATGAATGAGTACAATCATCAAATATATACTACTGCTAATGGGAAAAAAGAGATTTTAAGGATTCAATTAATCAGTTACATCCTTAAAACTAAACCTCAAAGGTTCTTAATTACTAAACTGTCTACCAAACAACACTGAAACCTCAACCAGAGAGGCTTTGAAGTTTGAACCAGACACAAGGGATCCCTTATTTTACTAGCTGCAGGTTCTATTGATTGCTACCAGATATTTACTTCCTTCAAACTTTTTCAGTGAAAACAAATATCACCTAAAAAAAACTCTTAAAATGGTTTATACAATGAGACTTTATGAAATGTTTCAATAACATTCTTATTTAACAATATTTTACACTGTTAAGTAATATTAATTAATTTTGTTACTTTTATCGAACTACTACAGTTCAGAATATTTTAGTCACCAACTGAAAACACTACTGTTTACTAACAAGGACATGTCTTCTACTCATATGTATGCATGGAGATGCTGGCATGCTCTTTTTGAATTGTTACAGCTGTTAAATACTTACAAATGAATTTACATAATTTTTGGCATAATCCCCCAGTAGAATCTAACGCCTTTGAGTGAATGATGGTGGAATTCAATCTCGAGATAAGTCTCAAACACTTCAACTCAATTGGTCAATTGTTGGTCCCTCTGTGTGCAGGCTTGTTAATGAGGCCATGCCGCTGAAAATTACGCGTTTCAAGAAAACTGGGAGAGAAAATGGCCAATCTCTTCACATGCATTCAACGATCATCTAATTGTACAGAGAAATACAATAAATTTTCTGTTTCAAGTGGGATCAACTTACCGATAAATATATCCCATCCATCTCTAAACTTTGTGAACAACACACACCGAGACAAAAGACAAGGAAAACAGTGATGAATAGCTAAATTCTAAAATCAATTTCTCAAGTATACGATGCAAGTTGTTTCTTGAACATAGCTAAATTCTAAAATAGTTTCTGAGAGAGAAAAACTGTTGGCGCTGATGGTAATGAGAGGTGAGATTGGTACTTGGTGTTTAAAATTTAAGAATTTAGCTTTTATAAAATTGTAAAGTATTTTTGTTCTATGTATATAGCATCGTTAATTGTGCTTACGAAATATGTTGTAACTTCTATGTCATAGGGATTCAGTAACACTTTTGGAGATCCTGTCGTTGACAGGTTTCATCTTTCTGCATTTCTTCTTTCTTTATCAGTCAAACCCTAAATAACCTAGACCTCACATAGGTGTGGGTTCATTGATTCTATTTACCCAAATTTCAATTCAGTAAAATGGAATAAACCATAAAAACAAATACCCTAAACTTATAAACGTAACATTTCTGACTTAATAAGTCTATCTAACAAAAATGTAACAAAAAATATTCAAGAATTTAAGCGCTAAACAACGTCCAAGTGCATCAAATAATAAAGAAAGTAATTTTGTTTTTCTAATTACATTACATTATTTAGAAAGTGATAACAATCATTCACGAGATTTAGCATGATCTCCTCTTCCATTAGCTGGAAAAGTTACCAATAATGTGTCTTATGTAATAAATGATGCTTTCATTCATGTGTAATTTTACGGTCCCATGGTGTTGAAATTGGGTGGTCTATATGGAGATGAGAATAGTGTAATAGAGGTCTACATGGGTAGGTCCTCTTGTTCCATATATCCTCCCATGCATTTCAGCCATTAAATATCAACTTTTCAAAAATCAAATATAGATGGTATTCTAATAGTAACCAAAACACCACATCGGTAGATAAAAAATTATGACCGTATTGAAAAATGTGATTGTATTTCTCTTGCACATTAAATGAGTTGCAAATGAGATGATACTTTTTTTTAACTTAACTTGTCAATGTTTCACCTAAGCACCATTAATGATGCTATCTAATGGACCACATTGATTAAAGATTTGCACTTCCAAATAGAGACAAATACAGGATTTGTATTGAAGTGAGAACCAACACAGACTTTCTAATGTTTTCATTCTGGTGGGAGTTGTAAAATTTTTCATATATCAAATTCAAAAGAAGATACAAATTTTAGATGTTAGAATGGCATCCTAGGTCACCTTTTCATCTGCTTTCACTACTTCTTCTTCTTCTTTTTTTTTTTTCGTTCCCAAAATCAACTTAAAACTATCCTGCATTTTCAACTATCAAAAGACCATTTATGAATATGGAAAATTATGACATAAACAACTATCAAAATTTTCAACCATTATTATTTTCAATCTTATTTTTCAACCATTATTATTTTCAAGATATATATTTTTACTATAAATTATTCTGACAAAATTAGGAGAACATAGTTGTCAAAATTTTATAGCACATGGAGTAGAAGGGCACGTACTACAAAGAATAAGGATATGAAAATGGTTAGAAAAATATTTTGGACTGAATGAAAGAACAAAGAGCGTCAGGTTCCCTCCATGTACCAAAGTTTTTAACATACACGCAATAAAAAGAAATAACAAAGGATGGTGTGATATGAGTTTTCTCTTAACCAAGTCCAACAATGCGGCATTTTATGGCATATAATTCAGTCCATTTTCTGTAGCCACCAAGTCGTATGACAATGGTGAAGACATGCACAAGTTATATAAATACTTATACTTCCTTGTATATATAGTTATAATGTTTGTGTGCATTCTATTAATAAAATTATTATAATTTTATTAATTTCATATATTTATATTTATTAAATAAGTTATGAATATTTTATTCTTTTATTAAAAAAAATTAAAAAAAAATTGATAATTTACCAAGCAATCACATAGGAGCAACGTGGGGATAGAATTTGATGACTAAATTAAAAATAAAAAATAGAAAATCTGAAGTCATCAAATTCACATTTCAATAAATATTTGTTATTGAAGAAACTTTTATTCTTACATGTCTTACACAGTCAAATAATTCAGTTTTCTTTTATTTATATTCCTGTACATAGAATAAAACTGCAGGATGATTTTAAAACTCAATTAATTTGAATCATTTGGTTAATTCATTATTGGGCCGATCAAGTTTTAACACGTTCATTCTTTACTGGGCACATCAAGTCATATACCAATAAAAAAAATTATATAATAAATATGATGGATATAATATTTTTTTCACTTTTGTAATAATTAATTTAAACAATTTTATATTTGATAACCATATAACAATCTTTATATTGATAATCACATTGTATTATAAGTAATTTACTCAATACTATGATAGAATTAAAAATTAAACTACTAGTTGAATAAAAACATGAGTATTTACCTTTTTATAAACTATCCAATTATTTTAATTTAACATCAAGAGACTTAATTATTGTAAAATTATAATGAGTAGGTTGAAATATTATAATTTCATTAGTATCATAGTTAATTCTATCTATTTTATTTAATAGTACATATTTTTTTATTGAAAAATAGTATAAAATTTTCCTTTATATTTAAGTGTAGTTTGGTATATATTATTCTCTGACTCTCTCCAATAACCAATCCTATTTATAGATAAAGAAAATAAAATATTTGATAGTTTTTACTTCACCAAAAGTCTTATCTTTTGACTGGAGTAACATGGGATGGAATGCAAAATGTTAACAATTATATTAAAAAAATAAAATAACACTGTTTTTATTAATGCTTGACAAGCAACACATCCTTACTCATAGAAAATACAATTGTTATTGAACAAACTTATCGTACATGGTCATTTAGAAGAAACCAAAGCAAAGTATTCTCGGCATGATTTTAAAACTCAAAACATTCGGATAAGAAAAAACATTATTTTTTTTTTGGGCCGGTCAAGTTATAGCATGTGCATGCTTTTTTTTTTGTAATTGGGCCTATCACAGGTAACTCTACCTCAACTTTAACGTTTCATCCATTTCTTACTCTATAATTTAATATTAAAATTTGTTCAAGAGAAGTCTTTAAAAAAATATAATATTTAATATTATTAATATATTTTTACTATAATTTCAATCAAAAATTATTGTTTAAAATTATCCTTGGACATTGACTAAGAAATTAAAATATTTAAAAAATAATAAAAATGACTTTTTTTTTTTACTTATTTTTTTCTTAATAAATAATTTTTTTCTTACTCATGTCATTTTTTTTAATAAATAAGTTTAAATTATATTATATTTTTCTTACATATTTTCATTCATCTTTTTGTTACCTATAGTAATTTTATATAATTAATTTGAAATAATTATTTTATTACATATAAGATGATAATACATTTTTTTATGATTTTCTTCTGTTACGGGATCAAGTTAATTAAGCTAAATAAATATTTTGTTTATGGTATTGGTAGGAGAAAATTTGACGTAATTACTTACGTGAGGATTAAGTATACTTTATATAATTAATAAAAAAAAATATTTTATTTGAAGAACTCAAACTATACTTTAACACGATAACGACGGATTAGTTGAAGAAAACAGTAATTGTCTCATGCTTGGAAGCAAAATATTATCCACAAGCACTATATAGATAAATTAATTCTATTGTTTGATAAATTTCATGGTTGAAATTGAGTGTTAGGTATGCTAAGCTTCTGTTTGTGTTGAAAATATGTTTACCCAAGTGAACAAGTTAATTATTAATCATTAATCAACTTTCACACAACTATAACAATGAGTAAATTGTTTCGTGCTATATATAGATAAAAGGTTTGACTCCCTCACTTTTGTCTTACAAAAATGAATACAACAAATATCATAATTTTTTAAAATGTTTTTAAATTAAAGTTAATCATTTTAATAATAAAAAAATAACTTATTTCAAATGAGTGTTACAAATTTGTTTTGTTTATTTTAAGAAGGATAAACAAAGTCTAAAAATGCATATTATTAATTTATTTGGGCAATGCTTGAAAACAACTGTCTCAGGAGTTTAAAGTAATGTTCTCTTAATAAGCAACGATTGTGACGTTCACATTTATCTGCAAGTCACATTCCATAAAGTTAATTCTAAAAAGTTGTTTATGAGCAACTTGGTTTATTGGGTCCAGTAATATATATATATATATATATATATATATATATATATATATATATATATATATATATATATTAGGTAGGTTTCCCACAAGGCAATTTAAACACTAATATATCAGTCATGCAAAACAAAACTGTGTAAATGTTACAATTTTTTTGTAAATTGAGTTAAACAATTTCATGAAACATGATTCCACTAATATTTTTTTTAACATTTGTTATCTATTATAAAATTTGGAAATATTATTCTTACTCTAGAAGAATAAACATTAATTGATTAAAAATATAGCGTTGGACTAATGGATTTATACACAATGACGAATTATTGTATGGGAATCCCATTTTGGAGAAGTGCTGACTAATTAGGTTTTGACTCCAAACGTTGTTTGCACGCGTAGGAAACCATTCTTAAAATTCAACGTAAATATTTGGACACGACAAAACAATCTTTATTCCTTTGTGTATAACTACTAACTACATAGTAGGTTGAAAAGTATTCACATTTTTTGTTTCCTTACTTCTAAATGAGGTAAGATTGCTCACTATTGGGAGATTTATTTCTCATCCATGTAATTTTTAATGTTGCGTACCTCCTTTGTTTTTATTTTTAAAAGTATTAAGATATTTTGAATGCGTAAGAAAAACATTATATTAGGATGAATGATGATATATAAAAAGATCATTAATTATATTACGGAAGAATTCATTCTTAATATTCAGAATTTAAATATAATTTTAAGTCATGTTAGAATAAAAAATTGAACAATATATAAAAAAGTTGACTCATAATCTAATATCTTAAAATTTTAAATTTTAAAAAATGTTATTTTTATATAAATTGGACTTATATTTTATTATTGGAGTTGTTGTGTTTATGATAAAAGATCAACAGTTTTTTACTTTTACATTTACGAAACAAAGTCTTATTTAATTTTGAATAAAATTATTATTCTTACAAATTAATGTAATATATGAGAAAATATTAATTTTATCTACCTCACTCATCAACTTTAATTATTAAAAAAGATAAATATAAGCCAATAACTCATTTATTATTGATAAATAAAGTTAAGTTGTACATTTTTTTTCTTTCCTAGAAATAAGTTAAGCTAATTGACACATTCTTTACTGAAAAATCTTATATAAAAAAAAACAATGACTAACACTGACATTTATAAGAATAACCTGTTGACAATTCTATTTATTTTTTTATTAAATAATATTTTAATTAAACGTGAAAATAAAATATAATTTGATTTAGTTTAATATAAAAATCAAATGTTCACAGATTTTATCATCTTTTTACAATAAAATTGTTCATTTTTTTTATAATTAAGTTATAAATTATTTTTTTCTCAAAAAAGTATTAAAATTTTATAATAGAAAATTATAATATAAATTTTAATTCTCTTATATTTATAAATAAATTACATTATTATATAAATAAAATTACAATCAAATTTAATAAATACAAATATATTATAAATAAAATATAATATCAAACTATAATCTTTTAAATAATATATATTATCAATTAATTATAATTATATAATATTATATTTAAATATATTAGACAATTTTGTTTAATTCTTAATTTGGAAATATGAATTAAAAAAATAAAAAATAAAATATTTAAATAAAAATATATTTTAATTGATTTTCAGTTTTAAAATTTATATTTAATTATTTTTATCAATTTGATATTCAATGCCTATCTCATAACTATCACTAAATAATACAAATAAATAAATTTTGTAAAATAAGCACAACTAGTTGAAAAAATTAAACTCATAAAGCTTTTAATATTCTTCAATTAATGGGTTTCCTTTCTTTGTGTTTTTGTTGACTACTTGTTCATTCTCAATGTGGCTATTACTATTAAATCGAATCTAAATAGCCAAAATGTGGCAAAAAGATATCAAGGACAAAAGAATATCACTAGTTGGTGTCAGGTGAGGAAAAAACATAAACATAACACAAAACTTTATACTTTTTCTTTTTTTTTTAAGTAATTTTATAAAAGACAAACTAAAAAAAATAAAAATATTCGTCAATCAGACCTTTGAACTATGAAAAAAACTTTATCTATGGTTTTTGTGAACTTTATTCCATGTGTATAAAGAGCATGTGCTAAGTGGTTTACCATGTGACCTTTTGATGCTTAGTAATATCAGCCATGCAGTATTGATTTGATATCTTTTATTTAGAGTATTTGTGTAGTGTATTCTTTCTCTCATTTTAATTTTTTTTTTATTATATCACATTAAATTAGCAAAACTATATAATTAGAATTTAAAATAAATATAAGTCAGCGTCCTCGATGACTGCACTCCACGACACTTCACTCGGCCTTCTTACCGATCAGAACCTCTGTGGGTAGCCCTTTTCAAGTTGGCTGGCTCTCAATGAAAGCACCAATGTAACAACTATAAGGCTAAGAGGGGAACCATCCCTCAAAAGCTAGCTCAAGAGGTTGGAGAACCTCCTACCTTATAAGGCCTCTCGTTAAGGAGGCACTCCCGATGTGGGACTTGTTACACTATTATACCATCTTATAAATACTTTGTATTTAAACAACAAAATTTATGAAAAAACAAGTTCTTATGTAAGAATAACAAATTCTAAATCTTTTTAACTATGAACTCAAAAAGAAAATATTCTTTCAGTTGAACTTTCTTTTGACTCAAATTATTTTGAGAACCATTAATTGGATTCTCAATATTTTAACCGGTGATTTGTGTTTTTTTTTTCTATGTTTGAATTAATATTTATAAATTTGATTTTATAAATAAATAAATAAAATTTACAATATTGATTTTAGTTTGAACTTATTTTGATGCTTTAGGTTTAGTATTAAACCTGATTAATGTAAAAAAAAAAATTTAAGTCCACATAAAATTCAGGAAAATGTTATTTACTGGAGAAAAAAATAGAGTTTATAAAATGTGTAGAAAAGATATATAAATTAAGGATTTGTTTAAATAATTGACTTGATTAAAATGTTACCAAATAATTACTTATAATCTAAGTACTTAGATTTATAATTTTTTTATTTAATAAATTTAAAAGTATGGTTAGATCATTTTTATATAAAATATAAGTTATTTTAATAATTTTTCATACAATTTATTAAACTGAAAATATTTTATAATTATATCATATATTATGTTGTTGTACATAGAAGTATATAGTAAGGTTAAATAAAAATATGAACATATTATTCTGACTGAATTGAAATTTTTATGAAACTGGTTGTTAGAAAAAAACAAAAGGGAAATTTTGGAGTGATAGAAAAAGGAAATTAGAGAATCTTTTTATACACTTTTTGTTGCACTTTGTGGTGTGAAGTGGGAAAGTGAGAAAGATAATAAATAATTTATAAAAAAACTAGGAAAAGGAGGTTTGTATGTGGCGCAGAGGCCTCGCACTAGTTACCATCATTATTATTATAACTTTATTTATTGATTTATTTTTAATACCCAAAGTACATGATGAGGGATTGTTAGTACTATCAGCATATTCCTTGGAATGTTCTAATTTACTCTTTACCCCTTCCAAAACATTAACAATTAACTTATTCTATATGTTAAAAAATGTGCTTTCTATCAAAATAGTCAGAAAAGGTAATGTAAAAAATATTTAACATTTGATAAATTAAAAAATGTATCAATCTTTTCTAAAGAATAATAAAAATTGAGTTATTCCCTTTTAATTCTCAATCATTTTAATAATATTAAAATAGTCATAATTTTGTTAGTTATTTTATTATTTTATTAAACTATATATATATATATATATATATATATATATATATATATATTATCAAATTAGATTATAAATTTAACGGAATCCCATTTCACTCAATCAACCTCTCTCTATATCTTTAAACTTAGGAATTTGTAACTTCTTTTTAAGTATATAAACACCAGTCAATTTAGGACTTTTCTTTTTGCAACATCTCAACCTAATTTTAAGGATTACTAAATTTGATTTACACCATAAATGGTTTATCTATTGTTTAAAATAAATTATACACAATCCAAACAAATAACAATAATATATATATTTAGGCTAAAGAATTTTGGTCTCTACCTCCAAAATGGCACTTAAATTAAGACTTTGGATTGATTAGTAGTCTAATTGGTAGTGAAGGTAATAGGCTTTGCCAGCAAAAGAGTAAAGCATCAGCCTCTAGGGCATGGTCAAAATTTTAATAGGTAATATGTCCTTTTCATTCACCAATTAAATTATCTAGAAATTCTATTTTCCCATATTGTATGTCTACCTTGGTACACAAAATTCAACTGAAACATTCAACGAGATAGAAAAAACTATGAGAAAAATTAAATGACTAGAAGAAAAAAAGTGAATGGTAGTGCATCAAGATCGCGAGATACTTCTAGATGTAACTATTATGTCCTTAATTTTTTTTGGCTAAGTTTGTAAATGCTTCGACCTTTAAAGCGATATTGTTTTTCCCCTTCTTTATCATAACAACTTGGGATGCTATTTGAGTTTAAAATAAAAAAATAACGATGAATATAAAGCTGTTGATTTTATTTTATTTTAATTTATAACTAAGGGATTTGTATATTTTAGTGATATCAATTTGAGTCAGTTTATTTGTGGTTTTGTATTTATATTTATGTATACAGAAAATAATCAATAATTTGTTTGTTAGGATTCAATTCTGGGTCACTTGTATACAAAAATAAGCTTAATAGAGGAATACTCATTTAATTAATAATCAATTAGAAATTGATACCACTAAAAATGGACAAAAAGAAAAAAATAGTTATTAACTTGAAAAATACAATTTATGGCTAGGTTTTATCTTATTTCGTTTCTTGATTGATTTAAAGTCACTTTCAGGAAATTTAAAAAGGTAAAGAAAAAAATTCTTAAAATAACGTTGTTAGAGATCCAACAAAAGAATTTATCCTCTTCATTAATTAATAACCTAAATTTGAAAATAAATAAATTATTCGACAGTAGAATGTAATATATTGGATTCTATTTTGTTTTAATATTTTCCCCTTTTTTTAGCTTTTATTTATTTATTTGTGATTTATAAAGCTTAAAATTACTTTAAATACTCTTTAATTAATTATATATTTATATGATTTTAATTTAAAATGATTATATATATATATATATTATTTATCAGATAAAAATAATAAAGTATACATTTATTTTATTATAATTAAAAAATATTACGTTTGTTAGTTTTTAAACAATAACTTTAAAAGACAGATAAAATTTGACGGATTACATAATTACAATCTACATGAAGGGATACTTAAGACATCATTCAATTTTTTTTTCATGTGAGTTGTTTATAAATTTTGATTAACTGTCTCTATTTTTGAAGATGTAAATGAGTTTTATTGAGTCCTTATTTATACACAGAGTTATATATATATATATATATATATATATATATATATATATATATAATAGTATAAATATAATAAATATTTAGTTTATTAAATTTGACAATGACTATATTAAAAATGACCCTATTATAATTTTAAAGGATAAAACTTATATGTAATTTGTTAAGTAGTGTTAATATTATTTTCTAATTAGGAATGAATTTTTCCTTTGAAATTCCACACAATAAAGAGTTACATAAAAAAGTCAATAAATTCGAATAAGATTAGTAGTTTGCTATGAACAAAACTTACCGAATTTACTCCAAATAAAAAATAGTTAAAAAAAAAAAAGGAAAGATAAATGATCGGTGAAGCAAGAAATTGCGTCCATTATCTTATCTTGAACTTCACCAATCATTTTATTATCGAGGATAGGTTCAAAGGCATAAAAAAAAATGCCCAGTTCTAGGGTGTTTTTAATTGTTTAAAAAACGAAAAAGAAAAAGAAAGAAGAAGAAGAAGTAGAAGAGAGAGCGTGATGTGTTTTAGATTTTGGCGTTTGAGTGTGTCTCCAACGTGTATATATAGGGCCTATCCCACCCTCTTCCCTTTCACCTCTTTATCTGTCATCCATCCTTTGTTTCTCTCTTGAGTCAGAAAAAAGGGTTTCAGCTTCAAGGGGCACCACCAAAGGCCACGATACATTACCACCACCTCAAGGAATATCCTCTTTGATACCTTTCTCTGTTACTATTTTATTATTATTCTTATATATCAACTCTCTCACAGACACATACTCTAAAGACTAATAGTACTTTCCTTATTCCCTCTCTCTCTCTCTCTCTCTCTCTCTCTCTCTCTCTCTCTCTTTATCGTCCTAAAACAAACAAATAGTACTTCAAACATAATTTGATATGCAAGTGGCGGCAGAACCTCAACAGACTCGTCACCAACAAGACACTCCGATGTGCCGCCAAATCCAGCTCACTATCACCGATCACACCCTCCCCAACATCACTGCCGCCGCCGCTGAAGGTGCCTCAGACAAACTCGACGGGGAGGATCTCTTCATTCCGCCCCTCAACTTCGCCATGGTTGATAATGGCATTTTCCGCTCCGGCTTCCCCGAACCCGCCAACTTCTCCTTCCTCCAAACCCTTGGCATCCGCTCCGTCATGTCTGTCTACTCATCTCAATCACCCTCTATAAGTTTTTTTTCCTCTCGTGTTGCGGTTACCATGTGTGCCTGTGTTTGTTTGAGTTTGAGTTTGAGTTTGATGATGCTTTTGGGATTGTTTTTGAGTACCCAATTGATGAATTGTGAGTAAAGTCTCTTCCTTGCATGCTTTTGCTGATTGTTTGCTTGTTTGACTGGGTGTTTATTAGATATTTGTGTCCTGAGCCGTATCCGGAGGCCAACGTGGAGTTCCTCAAGTCAAATGGGATCAAGCTTTATCATTTTGGGATCGAGGGTCATAAGGTCTCTTTCCTCAGCTTTAATCTTTTTTTGTGCTCTTGTGATTTGTGACTTGATCTGGGTATATTGTTTTGTGATTGAGTAACTCTTTAAAGAATCTTCTATATAAGGAATTATAAGTATGAAACAAGATAACAAAAACATAAAATGAATCAAGTTTTTCTTGGAAGTTAAAATTCCACTTATTCTCCTTCATTTTTTTCGTGAATCAAGCTTTTGGAGAAGTTTTTAACTTTTCTAAAAGCAGAGGTGCATGAATTGATTTTAACACGAGAAATTTGATTCATCTTACTCAATAGGTACTTCTACAAGAAATTTGATTGTGATTGTTCTCTGTCTTGGCAATTTGCACTAATTTCACAGCAAAAAGAAAAGTTAATTGCTTGCACTGAGATCAATGGACATCTAATCCATTTGACCTGTCATTCTCATTCTCTTCTACATTCTTAATATAATTTTTTTTTCTCTCTCAAGACATGGCTGTGAATAATTAGTGACCTGATGAATTGGTACTGTCATATGGATGCCTTGGTTTCAAGTACTGTAATATCAAATGGGTTTATGACAAGCTTCGGAGAAAAAAGAGGGGACGTAAAGCTGGTTGTTGTCTCTATTACTTCTTCAACTTGTTCTTCTTCCTCCTCCTCCTTCTTCGATTCTTGCTTGTGACTTGTGGTGTAACTTTTTGAAATTTCCCTAACTCTTTAAAGTGCTTTAGGAAAATCTTTGTTTGGAAACTTTTGCTTGCTAAATTTTACTATTGCAGCTTTTTCGGTACCATTATTATGTTGTCATGTCAGTTTTGGTCTCGTTATTGTTCGGGATTAGATCCATTGTTTTATTTCTTGAGAGCATATTTCTGTGCGAGAGAATCCTCTTCAATCCTCACGGTTGATAGAATCCAAGCTGGCATGTCAAGTCTTTTTCCCTGGTTGTCTTAAATGATCACAATCATTTGTTTTTCGAGAATAATTAACAGTTGGAGACCATATATTATACTTGCTGTCTGTATAATGGACTATTATGGATATTTTGAAAACCAAATCTGTTCAAAAAGAGCACAAGTTTGCTATTTGATTATAGTGCAAGTACAAGGTAAAGAAAGGGAAAGGAATTAATAATTGTACAGAAGTAGCAACAAAGTCATGATCACCCTGGGAAAGACAAGAATAATATCTCATTAGTAAATTTGGAGATGGAATTTATGTTATTGGTGGATTAGGGCATATGGTATGTTGAATTTGGATTTGCCTTCTCTAAAGGTGAGGAGATGTAGAGTGCACTCACAATTCTTGATTAGAAAATAAAGGTTTGAGATTTTAATTAATTTTAATGTTTGTTATATATGTATTTGATTTTATCAAAATTTTCAACAGTATAAATTGTCTAGTTAGTACACTTTTTTATCTGAAGTGTATTTCCTCATTTTAGAAGAACCAGATCCGTTGAATTAATATACAGAATACTCTACCTTTGCGTCTCTTTCCTTAATTTTGGAATTGCTTTCATGCCCTTTTCCTACATTTTCTCTTTTTTGTATGACTTATTTGACTCCAAGAACGTTCTGATGTCTTCTAATTTTCATGGTTGTTCATATCCGACTCCATCAGGGGAAAAGATGATGGTTAGATGAACGGGGATTGGTTTATTCTACTTTCGTTTATTGTGTAGGATTTAGGCATATATAGATAGGTTAATAATAGAATAAAAGCTTATCTTGGATCCCAAAAATCACTAAGTCAATCAAAACTGGTAGATGATAAACTCATAAAATGGTTCAATTTTCTTAGACCATCCTTGTGAAAATATATTACACTGTTAACCATTACGAAATAGTTGTTGGTAGAAGGTAATTATTATAGAAGTTACCTTCCATAACAGTTTAAAATTACAGTACAATGTAAAGACCTTTATATTAAGTTTGTATAAACTATTTATTCTTCACAAAATTCTCAAATATTGTCTTCAAATTGTATTTTAGCTACACCCTCTCCTCTCTTCTTTTAGTTGATAAAAGGTGATAGTGGAACCTTGATCTTATGTTGACATAACAGGATTTTGATAATCTGAAATCTTCTTTAACCTTATGAAACTTGTGCATCCAGGAACCTTTTGTGAACATCCCAGAGGACACGATCCGTGAAGCACTAAAAGTTGTACTTGGTATGATATGGCTCTTTACTGTTAATCATAACTCTGAGTCTAATTTCAGCAACTCATTTTACTAGCGTAACTTTTGGTGATCAACAATGCAGATGTCAGGAATCACCCAGTTATAATTCACTGTAAACGGGGAAAGGTGAGACTCTTTCTGGATTTTTTTCACCACTTTTGTAATATCTACCCGTAGGAGTTTTTCTTGTTGAAAGTATGCAAACTCTTCCTTTTATCCGTGTGCAGCACCGAACGGGTTGTTTAGTAGGATGCTATAGAAAAATGCAAAAGTGGTGTTTGTCATCTGTATTTGATGAGTACCAGCGCTTTGCAGCTGCCAAAGCAAGAGTTTCAGATCAGAGGTTTGTAGAGTTGTTTGATATTTCCAGCATGAAACATTTGCCTATTCCCTTTTCATGTTTGAAGACGTAACAGACCAAGTTATGCTATGCTGAGTTGGTTTTACTTTCTTTAGTTGTGAAAGTGAAACCCACATTCTTCCTTTGAATAAATGGGAAAAGGTGATGAACTCCTTCAATGCGTTGCAGCGGCAAAGGAATAATTCTTCTTCTCCCGTTCTTAAAATAAGATAAGAAAAATTGTAGGAATAGTAGAGCATTGCCTACCCGTATTTGTATGTGTTGTTATAATTCTGCCCTATTTCGCCCTTAGTGTACCTCACTAGCACCACCTTTTGTTATTTTCTCCCCTATTCATCAACAATGAGCGTAGGTATGTCTTGATTTTTTCTCGAGGCTCAGAGAAATTCAAGAAGGCTACAAAAATGCCTTGTTTGTCTACCTAAAATCTTGATGGGTAGTAAACCAGAGAAACTTATAATATTGCTTTCCTGATTTTGAGTTGACAATAGTCCAGTTCAGTGTGCTGGTTATTCTTGCACTAATTGCATGCTGCTCAGTAACGTGTTCTAACTCTATCATACAAATATGTATTTCAGGAAGATGCAGATTTTTTGCTCGAGAATATTTTGAAAAAAAAAAGAAAAAAAGACATAGATGAGAGTTTTCTAACATGGGGGTGTCAAAATAGCAATTAAAAAAGAGAACATATATTTTTCTTAATTCTATTTTTTAAGTCGAACATATTTCTTTTGAAATAGAAGTTTAAAAAGAAAGTGATGAATAATAAAGTTTGAAGTGATATTATAACACGTAATCTGGATATCAACTCCACATATATTACTTTGTTTTTCTTCCCAATTTTTATTCTCAATAGATATGTGTGCTCGAGTTTTTACTTTTACCAGTTCTGTGAGTTTTGTTCATGGTCATTGTTTTCTCCATTAAAAAAAAAAACAACTTGGACTATAGCACATTTCCTGAATTCTTTATTTAGCTAAAAATAGAAATTTGTTGCCCAATATATAGTGTTACAGGGCAAACTACCATAACTGCTCAATATTGTTTATATATACTTATATTATTTTATAAATAAAGAGTATTATGTATATTATCGTTTTATGACTAAATGGATTGTCTAATTGTTAATTAAAAGCACATTTTGGGCTAGGTTTGCAGCCAAGCTTTCATTTGTAAACTTTTTAATCATGTTGTTATTTATTGTCGAAAATAGTAATTAATAATTATATTTGTTTATTTACTTTTTAATTGTTTTAAGTAAATTCAAAAATAAACTTGAACGATAAGTTGGATATGTGCGTGGAATTATTAGAAGGACGAGTTAGTATGATAAATGGAAAATTTTCATTATTATTCAATATTTGATTTGTTATATCCTTCAATCCCCTTTTCTCTAATAACAATGAGAAAATTTTCATAAACAAAAAAAAAAGTTGCAGTTTTATCTAAATTTGTTTATGGCTGGTGGTGTAATTGAGAAATGAAGTGATTTTGTTTGGTGATAGGTAATCTGTTTATAGTTTGGACTAAACGAATGAAAAGCTGCAATGTGGATTATGAGCTCATCTCGAGCTCACGTTGTGACATGTCTATGGCTGAACTCCAGTTGCATGCACTTTGCCGCCTATGTGAAGAAAAGTTTTGCGCCAATTAGTTCCCCAACTATCTCCGACTTTAATTTTCACGTGCTTCCTTATCAACTTCCTTTTCCAACAATTTGCACTTCCTACCATATTCACTTTCACCATTCGAATCGACTTCAATAGTTTTAAAAATCGCATTATAATATTTTCTCGTCTACTTTTTCCATTATTTTATGCTCACTCGTTTGAATATGAAAAGAAGAAAAAAATATTTACCATAAAATGTGAGTTTAAAGTGATGATATACTATATCTTAAAATTGAAGACCGAAAAACGAGAAATTAAATGATAAAATTATTGTCATTTTATACATTACATTAAGATAAAAGTGATAAATAGTAGTTAAAACCACACGTTATTGACATGTCAAAAATAGATAAAAAAAAGTTGACTCAATGGGTGAAAAAGGTTACCACTTCTGTAGTGTAGCAGTTCAAGTACAATTCAAACAATTGGTGCAATTTACAGTAATTTGTCTTTCAGTAGTTGCTTAATTTGAAATTAAACTCGATTGTAACTTAGTAGAGATTTGATGTGTCAAATAAAAATATGCAAGTGTAATTAGTATTAATTTAAAATAAGTGAACGTGATTATGTGGTCTAAAATTATGTTATTATGTAATATACGTATGTTTACTTCTGCATGTCAAATACGTAAAATCTACTTTAGGAACATCTCTTTGATGATGACACCAAACCACTAATCTGCGTGTGATTTTTATTTAAAGTTTTACTTGTAATTATATGTTCTATTTGCATTTTGCTTTCACTGCTATTGGGCTGCATACACACAATATGGACCTTTTTAAAAAAAAAAAATCCTTTTCTCTTGGGCCTCTGACACGCTGTTTTTGGCAGGGTACAACTTGCAACTTTCTTTCTCTTTTCAGCAACATCATCCAGGATCAGATCATCATTTGGATGTTGATTATCGATAAACACACATTGAAATAATTCAAAAACAAATAATAAAAAAGCTATAAACCAGTGGTCTCAATCCTAATATTAGATATTGTAAAATCAATAATTAGTTAGGCCATCAACGAAGGAAATATTAATTAATTTTTAAGACCGCATTCAAACATCAATAATTGCGATAATAGTAGTACGCAACCATCAATCCCCTAAAACGACATGATCGATGCATTCATCATTGATTCATATGGTTGGTGCATTATTAGCATTTTATTCTTATCATTTCTCAAGGTTTAATAGAAAACAAATTTTCCCTTCATGAAATCACATGTCAAAGAGCTGGTTTTGGTGTCGTAACTGCTTAATTTGTAGGAGAGGAACACGACATTTAAGTATGAAATCATTGATGAGTGAAATTCTGATATCATAATCATATGGTAGCAATCATACAAAATGGGTATCATATTCGCTATATATTACTATTCATTTCCATATTATGTGGATTGTACCAAGTTATTTGAATGAGACAGAAAATATAATTTAAATATGTACATATATATATGCTACATATATATTTTTTTTTGTATTTACAATTTATGATAACACAATTTATTGAGAATAATAAGTTTAAGATTATATAACAAATTTTATTAAGATTAAAAATATTAATTATTATTTTATTATACATTTATATTAAAAAAAAAACAAATAACAAAAGTTATTGCAGCAATCTATTAAATATTTTATCATACGCTTCAACTTAATGTAGTTTTCATTTTTTTTTTAAAGTTAATAAGAAATAGGGATATAAAGTTGATTTAGCATAAAATGAAATACATTTTAGTTAATGACAATTAATTATATCCTTAACAAATGGTTGGGGTGTTAATATAATTCTTCCATGATAAATTAGTAGAAAAATATCCTACCCATATTTGTTTATTATTGAAAAGAGAATATGAATTTGGTAAATAAATATTATCAATTGAAAACTTCAATTGATAAATATGAATATTTCACTCGTGTTTTTAAAATATGTCCATAAATATTATTTTCTCAGCCAATACACATGGATTTTAGTAGAAACGTTAATAAATTTATTTAATTAAAATTAAATAATTAAAAATTCCTATACATTATTTTTTGGCTCCAAAAATTATTGAAGAAAATTGACATCTTCCTATAACATATATGGTATTGCACGGCATAATCCGGTACATTTATTAACTTTTTTTTTTTTTTACTTATGTTAAATTTAATTAATCTAACCTTTAAATTACATTATATTATTATGTTGATGAAGTATGAGTTAATTTTTAAATTACATATTTGTTGAGAAATTGAATATATTTTATGATAATGTTAGCAAAGGTGTCATTTGACCGTGAGACTCAAAGTGGATAATGTCATTAGATTGAAGGTGATTTAAGAAATTAAAAAAAGTTATTCACTAAAAAGAGTATGGTCCCAATAATAATTTGCATCCTTGATTATAACTGTACCAAGCAAGTGATTCATGCATATTAGATAGAATAGAGGAAGTGGTCCAAATGAAGTCCTCAAATGTGAGGACAAAATAAGGACCACTTGTGGATCAAACAGACTGTATTTGAGCAAATGCGAGGTGGACTACATGGCCCAAAAAGCACATATAATTGGGGGTGGGCCCAAACTCAATTCAACTCTGGACAGGTCAAAATGTTAAGGTTTATGACTACTAAACCTTTTACAAAGGCTGCTTTATGAGTGATGAATAATGGTTCCGTGACCATAGTGATAAGGACAACATGATCAACTTTGTGAGGTTGAACCAAAATCAATTTGTATGAACCATAAATCAAAACCAAACACGCTTCAACTAATCAAACAAAAATAGTTGCAAGGTCATGTGTAACTCCAACAAAATGTTAAAGTTTGTATTCTTATATGATGTGTGTGTTTTTAAAAAATTGTAAAAATATTTTTAAATTGTAACTTGAATATATACTTCGACTAATATCAGTTTTACATGAGATGTGTTATATGATGTTGCAATAATTTGTATATTTCATCATCTATTTTAATATTTGTAAATTCTTTTCCAACAACGGAAAAGCAATCAAATCCAACCTAAAAAAATGGGTTGGATTGGGTTTGATCACACAATCAAATCAACTGGGTGATAAGATTAAACAACAAACCAATGATTAGTTGAATTGGAAACTACCCACACAATAGACAAAATATTTTTAATATTTGCAATATGAAGCTATACATTAATTTCTTAATAGATTTTTTACACTCCTTTAATTAATGTTTAGGGTTGGATTTCAAGCTCTTAAAAATGTAACTGTTTTTTTTTTTTTTTGTAAGATGGTTGTAAGATTTTTACAGCACATGCCCTATTAAGCTAAAAAAAAAGAAAAGATATAATGAATAAAGCAATATAAAATATACTATATTAAAAAAAAGAGTCTAAGTTTATTTGTAGAAGTAATTTATTTATGGAAAAATGGCATCAACCTTTTGAAGAAGCAATATGATAGAATATATTAAGAAATGCGTGAAAGATTTTGTCATGACATGCATCATTATAAAAAGTTTGTAACATTTTTGTCGGTTTCTGTCTTTTAAAATGGCGGAAAGGGTGCTTTCACACTTTAGATTGATACTTGGCACAAGCAATGAAGCAAACTTAGAAGCCATGAAAGTGCTTCCCTTAAACCTATATTTAGAACTTACAAGTTTATATGCATGTTATTGTTACGTGTTTGAATTGATCTCTAGATATGTCCGTTTTGGCTGAGACATTTCCTTGCAGATATATGATTATTTGCAATAAGAGGTTTCACCCTATCTCCACGTTAGTGCTAACCATCTTTCTGCTTATAAAAGCTGCTTCTCCACTTTCCCAAGTTGAATACTTACGTGGATGTCAAGCTTCTGTGGCTTAAAACAAATTCTGTTCTGTCAATTATTCTCACTCATCCATTCATCGTTTGTTTTGTGGAATCAATTTAATTATTTTCTTTCTCTTGACGTGATGTTGCGTTACGTCGTACGTGTATTCCTCAATGTATTCAATCTTTTATTTATGTTCTTCTTCTTCTCTCTTCTTTGCCATTATTACATGTTCTGCATCATCATTGTCTCTTGACCGAATATGTATTTCAGTTTATTATTATTTTTATAAATAAAAAAATCTCAAGTATATGTTTTAAAAATTTTATATTATACTATATTTGTAATAGGAAGGTAAAAGATCGATTTCATATTTATTATAATAATATTATTAAAATTAATTTTTATTATAAAAATTATCTATTTTAAAATACTTATTTATTACAATTTTATTCTTAAAAATATTTTGGATAAAAATTTATATAAATTATTCTTGTCTTAATTCTAAAATGACATGAGACATATTCACATCTTATTTCTATCGACACACTAAATTAAAAATTAATCCTATTTAAAACTAATAATAAAAGTATTTGGAATTGAAAGTTAATATTTTCTTTATTTTTCAACGTAAAAATAACGTCATTATATTGGTTATATAATTTCATTGTACAGGAAATGTAAAAGAAAGTAAATTATTTATGGTTGGGGATCAGGATTTTAAATTAATATTTTCGTGCAATAAATAATATATTGTTAATAATCAGATCTAACACGTATTTAATGTAAAAAAAAATAAGGCACTGATTTTTCTTTACAGAGAAAGTAAATGATAAGAACAAATATATACAAATAAATTAATAAAGTATGCATATAAGTTGATGTAAACCATTTTTTATATGTGCAGTTTATATATATATATATGATATAATTTACAGTTTTCTAATAATAGATTAAGTATATGCACAAAATTAATATATTTAACAAATTAATTATTTTTTATTTAAATATATTTTAATTAATAAGATAATATGATGCTAAACAAATGCGCTTTTAAAATTAAATAATAAATCATATATAACTAAATAATCATGCTACAAATAATAGTTATCAAAACTAATTATGGTTTAGAGAATCAAGACATATATTAACTTATAAGAATACATAAGTTAGCTTACAAATGGAAAATTTTGTTCAAGACAAAAACCTTGATACATGTTCGCCTAAATTGGAAAAAAAAAAGAAGACAAAAGTGAAAAAAAAAATTTAATACTAGATTGAATGACTTTTCTGTTCTTTTTTTTTACTCTTCTTATTTAAACAAGAGAAAATTTTTAAGTTGCAGAAGGATCACGACATTAAGAATTGTATTTGAATCACTAAAATATGAAAATATTAACTAATATTTATTTTTTGTAACATTTAGACAAAAATAAAAAAATTTAAATATAAAAGATAGGTGAAATTAATTTTGATGAATTAAATATTGATTAGAGTATCTACTAAAATTTTAAAATAATGGATGGATTGATTCAATCCTATCCAAATTTTTTATAATTGATGAATTTGGAGAATTTACTTTTCAATGGGCTGTGGATATATTGATAGATGCATTAATTTTCATCCCTAACTACATATACTAAGGAGTTGGTGTGCGTTTTCATAATTTAAAATAATTTGTACATGTGTTGAGGTAAAACATTCAATTAAGGATGATTTAAACATAGTGTTTAATAACTCATAACGTCTTAAAATTCAAATCTTTGGACAAATTTTGAACACTGGGAACATCATGCGTGTATTCAGGAATTGATGATCTAATTGTTGTTTAGTTGGGTTGTTTGTTAACTCTTATTAACAAAACAAAAAGTTTAAATTAGAAAGTAACGTCACAAATACCTATTTTTTTATATACATAAATGTTGTCATTAATAAATCTACTGCCTTAGAATTGAACATGTTCATTTGGTTGCATCCATATCCTTTGGCCTACACATTGTTTAAAGTGAATGTGTTTGGGTTGCATAGTCTTGGCATTAACATTCTCACGCATTCAACATCACTAAGACACTATCATTGGTGGTCCAAAACTCAAGTAGCCAAATTGGAACACATATGAAGCCGAAAAGGCAATAAAGAAAGGGGAAATAATGCATAGTAGAGCCAAGAGGGAATAGTATTTTTGCTAACAGGTAGTTGTGTTTTTATTATGAGGTTTGATATTTTTTTGTTGATTATTTTGCAGTGTCACAATCACTTCAACCATGTAACAGAAGTTGTGTTTGTATTAAAACTCAGAAAATTCTTTCAGGAATTCCAACACATGTACGAGTTACAATACACAATAAACGATCAAGAATATATTACATTAGACTTACTTTAAAGTTCATCCAACTCAAACCCACACATGCACTATGATGATATTTTATTATTACTATTGTTATATTCTTTTGGTAAACACATGCATAAATCACTTTGCTCACTTCTCCCAAAACATACATATGGTAGCTATAGTAAAAATATTTAAGCAGTTGCAATTGGACCAAAATTTGACGCTTTAAAGGCTTCAAATCTTGGCTCCTTGGCCTGGAACTTTAGCTCAGCATAGAGCTTCATGTAGTCTTCAAACACAAATTTTGGGTAGAGCTGGACTTTCTCCTCTGCCTCTTTCTCCAGCAATTCTGGAGCAGGGTAGATGACAGCGTCACTGCCAGGGTTATAGAATGAGGCTATGGACATTCTGGTCCCATCAGTTTGTGCTATCACACGGTGCTCCACACTCTTGTACTTACCATTGGTGATAACCTGTTTTTTTAACCAAGGAATGCTTGATATTAGTAAAACTGTTGCATCTAACTCGTTTGTAGAAATGTCAACTAGGCATACACAGTAAAGTCAACCAATTAAAATTCATCTTAGATATGTTTTTAAAGTAATTATTACAAAAACTTTCAATAATATATGATTAGATGAAAGTGTTAAAAAAATTACGTTATCGTTGTATTCTAATTAAGTTCATGTATGATATATTAGTAGGAAATGAATTTACCTCAAGCTGATCACCAATGTTAACAACAATGGAGTGGCGCATAGGGGGCACATCAACCCACTGGTCATCTTTGAGCAGCTGTAGGCCACTGACCTTGTCATCCTGGAAGAGAAGGATGATCCCACCGGCATCGGTGTGGGGACGAAGACCCTTTACCAGCGCTGGGTTGGGACATGGAGGGTAGTTGGCAATCTTGGTGCCAAAAGTTGGTCCTCTTGATCCATAGAAGGCCTTCTTGAGGTACCCTTTCTCTAGACCAAGATTCTCACACAACAAGTCCAGCAGTTGCTCTGCTAGTTTTTCTAACCTTAAAGCAAAATCTTTCATCACCTTCCTGCACCATTACTTCATGTTAGATTCTTGTGAAAGAGATATTTACAGCTACATCTTTTTTTCGTTTTTTTTTTAACTCATTATTATTTGATGGGTGGTAATCTAAAAGAAATAATGCAACAGAAGTAATATATGTGGAGCAATGTTCAATCTTTTTGGGACTTCTGCTTGTATCCATTTTTGGCAAGTCAAAATGAAGGTGCAAGTCCTGTGTCAGTTGTATGGAATTTGTGCTAACTAGTATTAGTAAAATGCTATATCATATGTCCTCCACATGCAATGTGTAATGTTTGTTTTATTGTAATCACCTGTATTCATCGATGAGATCAGGGACCTCTGAGATGTTTGATTCAGGAAGATGACGCAAGTGGAAGGTGCTCTCCCAGTCCATGTCCTTGACCTCACTTTGGACAGCATCTAGACCTTTGCTTGCTATTAATTCCTTGAACCTTTCTTCCATACATTTCCTGTAGTGCTCTTTGGTCAACCTCTCCACAGTGTCCAATAGGTCATGGGGTATGCCATGATTCACCAACTACAGAATTTTGAAAGCAAACAGTCAGAAGAGGCATCAAGTAACAAGAAAATCACAAGAACAAACAAGGACATATATTTGGAGGGCAATGTAGAAATGAATTAGGTAAGGCAAGCATTTGTTGGGTTCTTAAGGTACCTCAAAGAATCCCCAGTTTTCACAAGCATTTTTTATTTTCTCCATGGTGTCTTTTCTCTCCTCACCATTGAGCTTCTCAAAGTTGATCACTGGGAAGGTAGTCATTTTTTCTAAATTCAAAACTCGCACTCGATCTCTTTCTTTATATTTTTTCCTCTTATCTATTGCTCTATGCAAAATTGAGTTTGCTAGGTGGTATTTATAGACCTTTAAGATGTAAACCAACCACAATAAAGGAAAAAAAAAATCGTTTATAATAACAAAAATATCTTGTAATTTGCATTATTTTCACCCTTATTTTTATCTATGCTTTAGGCTTTAGTACAACACAAATACATAGCAAACATTTCTTTTGGTTTTCCGTGGTTGAATTGTCTTGCAACTTTGGTGTAATTGGACCCACTTGTTGGCTGATTTCTTCTCTTGACAATTTGACCAGAACTATAGAAACTGCCATCACCTCCAATCAATTCTCAAATTTTACTTGACCTTTATTGCTGGGTCATATGAAGGTGCTTTCTAGGAAGGAGCATAGCTACTGGAGTTCCAAGATAATAGCAACCACGTTTTTTAACAAGTTTGAAAGAAGACTTTGAGTTCTCCACTCAATACATTCATGTTTCCTAGTAAGGAGTTGCTTGAGTTCCAAAAATAGGTGAGATATGGAATACTTACTAAGAGTTGTGTATGATAATATACGATTAACATTTAATATAGGTTATAAATTTCTAATTAAAGGAAGTCACAAAAATAAAAAAAAATTTGCGTGCATTTTACTCAATCAAGCAAATTCATTATCCATAGCGCATGTGTAAAAGGTTGTGGTCTTAAGAGTGCCGTGTCATTCCTATCTGGTTTGTTTAACATGTTATTTCAATTTGTATAAGAATATTGAGGAGGTTTTATTTATTTCCTGCTTTAATTTCATAAAGAAGTAAAGTTGATGAGGTGATAGAGAGAAAGAATAAGAACACACTATTTTGGACACGTATGACCACTAGCATTTTAGTTTGACTAGGCTATGATTCTATGAAGATAATTATTTAAATATGAATTTTGTTAACTGTATTCAAATCTCTAATGAGCGCTGTTGGTAGAGAACTTGATAAAGAATATATTTTTACAAATTTTTTTATAACAATGGTAGAAAAATATTTTTTAATAAGTTAAAATTAGTATATATAAAAATCATTTTTGGGAAATTCTTTTATCTAATTTCTCTAATTTTTTTTCTTCAATTTGTGATAAAATAACTTTAATTTATAATTTTTTTAATTTTCTTTTCTTCTAAAAGTCATTATGAAAAACTAAGTAATTCTTTTTTTTGTTAGGATTATGATTGTTGGAAATAGGCAATTCACTTATGTCGTCAAGTCTATAAATTAAAATTTGTAATGGAACAAACTATACGTAATTTATTAAATTTTTGTTACTAAACATTCCTACTAAATTTCTTTCTGATTGAAAGAAAATATTGAGAGTTTCATGTATTTCTAAATTACTTTGTATAGGAATATTGTATGTGATGTTTTTATATGTATTAAAGACAAGAACATTAACGCATTAATTGAGAGATACTACATTGAGAATATATTACTGTGTGAGGATGTTCAAAAACTAAATTAATTAAAAATAATTGAAAATCAATAAAAAAAATCAATACCGATCTAATTAAAATTTAATTGGAATATGAGGATTTTTCTTTTTTCTAAATTGCTTAGTTTGGATTTAGGATTAAAATAAAAAATTGAACCAAAGTCATATATCTCTTTATTTAATTTTTCCATTATAAATTATTTAATATTTTTATAATAAAAAACAAATTCATCCACTGCAAAAAAATTGCCCGTCACAAACTTATTAAAATTTTTATGTTGAAAGTAACTGTATAATATTTTTAAGTAATTATTTTTGTATATAAAAATATTTTGAATGATTATAATTTTAGTTTTAAATGTATAAATAATGTTCAAAAATCATAAAAATTAATTATATATTTTAATTTCAATTAAAAAATGTCATATTAGTATTTTAGTTATGCATCATATACATGATTTTCATATTTATATAATTAAATTTTAAATGATATTGGACTTAATTGTATTGTTGGTCCTCCTACAATTGTTAAAATTTGATTTTAGATAGTTGATAATTTAAAATTATTAAAATTTAATTATAAAATAAAAAAAAGATGATAAATTGAAAGAGATATATGATTAAGAAGTTGAAGCAAACAAATAGTGATGTTTGAAATGGATGGCCAGATTCACAATCATACCTCACTATGCATGCGTTAAGATTAAAATAATAAATGAAGGTAATTTAGTTTATTTATTTATTTATGAGGACAACTTAATCTAAATATTACAAAAATATTTTATTTCCATTTAAGCATTTTTTTAAACTTATGTTCTTAACCTTAAACATTTCAAAATATGAAAAAAGAGATAATATGTCAATTAAATCCAATATATAAACTTTTCTGTAAAAAAAAAAGGAAAAAAAGAAGCTCTAACATGACTTCACTTTAGAAGGATAACATGAAAGATCATTTTGTGGCCATGGATTTAAGAAAAATAAAGTAGTCTTTTGTACCATTTGATATTTTGAATGTTTTTTATTATTGATTAGAATTGAACATCAATATCAAAGAATTTACCCTAAATCAACCTAACTAAGTTCATCCCATTGTTCTAGTTTTTCAATGTATTGAATTATTAAAGTTTTTAATTTAATACTTTAAACAAAAATTTAAATTGTAGAAGTTCTTAAATTGATGATAATAATTGCATAGAAAATGATTTAAAACCTTTAAAATGTAAACTGCCCGCCATTAAAGTTTTTCTTTATTCCTTTTCTTTCTTTATCCTTTCGACGTGGCTGGTCTTAGGGTTAGTTTTAGAACAATATGTTCTTTCCAAAAGTTGCTAGTGATGGTTTGCATGCAATTTGTGTTCATTTTTTCTTCTTAATATATATGCTATTTACAAGTCTAAATTAAATTAATTAATACACGGATTTGAATGAAAAATCTACTTTCTAACTTCCTTGATTAAATCTACTCTCTAACTTTCTTTATTTATTATTGTTTTTATTACTGTTCCTCTAATAAATATTGACGTTTTTGGTGAACCGGTTCCCAATATCATTTCTTAGAGTTATTAAAATCACACTATTGAATGCAACAAAGTGTTTCTATTCTCTCAATCTTTTCCCTCCAACATTACTTTTGAAAATAAATGGGAAAATCTTAATTATTAATAAAATTAATTTTTTTTAACTGAGTTATCAGCAGTCAAATCCTTATTTATTCACGGGCACGAGTACAATTAATCTGGAATATTTTAAATAAGGGATTTAATCTTATATATATATATATATATATATATATATATATATATATATATATATATATATATATATATATATATATATATAAAAGTGAATGAATTATTGTTAGTCAATGTATAACTCATTAAATAAAGTGTAACAATAGAAGTTAAGCATGCATGATTTCAAAGATTCTAACTTTATTATAGTATCTCCATTGTATATGCAACAAAAAACAGGTTAGTGTTTGGATGTGAAACACATGAATCAAATTAATTATGCTTTTATTTCTTCTGGTCCAGAAGAAAAGGGCAGGTGCATGAATGGCTACTAGTTTTTTCTATCCATTATCTCTCATTAAATGCATTCCTTTTGCTTTTGTTTAGTGTTATATTTTTTGTAGGGCTCACATTTTTTTGCTTCCGGAAAATATAAAACTGATACGTTTTATATTTTTACCAAATTATTTTAATAAGCTTGCCCGACATAGCGCGTGTGTGTTTTTGTAATCTAATTCACAATAATTACATAGCAAAAAAGTTAATTATTGTCATAAAAGTTATGAAAAGTCAATTTAACGGAGATTTGAAAGATAAAAAATTGCTTAGTATTGTAAAAAGAAAATTAAGAAGGAAATACTTCTTGTGTTCCGATATTGTGTTTATTATAATAATATTAAAGTTAATTTTTATGTTTGAAATATTGTTTATTTTAAAATTTGTATCATCATAATTTTATTCTTAAAAAATATATCAATAAATTAAGAAAAAAATATTTAAATTATCTTTAATTATGAGTCATAAAAAAAAAAAAAGGTTTGAGAAATTAATTTAACAGAATTTTACTTAATGCCTTTATTTAATCCAATCATTACAAAGTGTCATCGACTTAGCAAACAATTAAGTTTATGCCACTATATTATGTGAAAAAAAGAAAAGAAAATTTAAGCCTAACATTCAAAATAAGGAGAAAAGTTATAAGTATTTTGGAACAAGGCCGTGCCCAGATTCAGACCGTGGAAAATGAACCGTGGCCCAACCCAAGCACTGCACACTTATGTGACCATTAACACGATTCTTTATCTCATTAACTATTGTACTTATAGCGCATTCAAATTTTTTTGTAAAATAATAAGAAAAATGTTAAAATCTAAAACGTTGTAAATGTTACCTAAATCTTTCACCACATGTTGTGTATGCCAGTATTGATATAATAGTTAATAGTGAATGTATCTCACTTTGAGATAACTTTTTAAAGTTATTTTTTAAGCTTCATAAATTTTTTTTTGTAAACATATATAATCTAAATTAATACATAAAAATTCTTTTCTTCATCTTGAGTGTTGTACCGTTTGTTTTGATTTCTTCAACTACAATACTAGAAAAAAAGAGAAAAGAAGAAAGATGATTCCTTCTATTTAGCTTACTTTTCTGAGGAAGAACTATAGGACATATACTACAGCATGAAACACGACAGTAAGAAAGAAATTTTACAATTTTTATCAGGTGTAGTCGAAGTAAGAAGAGAAATAACAAGTTAAAAAAAATATTGAAAACTTTCACATCGTTTATATAATATTATAGTATTTATATAACATTATAGTTTAATATTATAATATTATTTATATAATACTAAGTATAATCAATATCTTAAATCAATTTTTTATTTTTGTCTTTCAGTAATGGCAAAAGTGAAAATGAGGATATGTTAGGATTTTTTTATTTTCAAAAATTATTTTTTCCATCTCTTCACTGGAAAAAGTGAAGAATGCATATGAGGGTGTGTTTGGATTTTTCTATTTTCAAAAATTATTTTTTCCATCTCTCACTGTATATAATATTGCTTTAATTAGTATCACAAAACAAAAAGAAGGGACATGGTAATAATTTTCTTATTTAGAAAACAATTTTCAAAATTTAAAACTTTGAATGAGAAATTAAATTACAAAATTATGTTAATTAAAAGCTGTTTTTAAAACCAAAACTTGACAAGTAAAGATGCCCTAAATGCCTTGAAATCATAGTAGTGCGTTTTCACGTGGTGCCTTCAATTGGAAGCCGCCAAATACACTCACACTTTTTTTTTTTTACCACTTTAACTCAATCGTATGTAAGATAGTGTCTGCTTCAAAATTTAATATTTTTATCATAATTTTATATTTAAAATTCATATTGATAGGAAAAATATATAAATTACCTTTAGAATAAACTTTTTAACCACATCAATTTTTTTAAATATATGATAACAAACACCCAACCATGGAATAAAGAGATAAAGTAACCTTATAACACTAATAACATTAGTTATCGTATTTAACATGTTATTACTTTAGAACTGCATATCTCTATCATTATTTTATTATATAAAATATATATATATATATATATATATATATATATATATATATATATATATATATATATTAGCGCAGGTGTTTAATTCGTTATTCAATAAAAAATATTCGTATTTTATAAAAAAACTATATTAAAATTGATCTGCGTAATAATAGTAATTCTTAAAATATTAGCAATATTATTTAACAAGAAAAATAAAAAAAATCATCTCACAGAAAATATTGTAACTAAACATTTATAACTATCTTAATAACCAATATTTCAAATCATATTTATTAAAATATAAATAAATTATAATTTTTTTTACCTTAATTCTCAACGAGAATATGAAAAATTTAAATATTTTTATTTTTATTTTTATTTTATTCAAAAATAAACAACAATTCTGTAATAATATTTAATATTATATTATATTTTTAGAAAAATAATATTTATAATTCTTTTTATAAATTTATCATCATTTTATGATAAAATATCATATTAGATTAATATGTAGTTATAATAATTAAATTATTTTTAAGTTGTCAAATAAATAAAAAATAAAAAATAATAAAAATATGAGTGTTTATAATAATTATAAATTAAAATAAAATTTGTAAATATTTAATATAAATTGTTTAAAATATTGACTTAACAAAACAAAAATGCGAGAATTTTTTATTATAAAAAGTAGTTGATAACGCTCTAAAAGAGTAACCTAACAGAATACATCACTTTTTTATTTTAGAAATTTTAAAGTTAAAAATATTGTGACAATCCTCTCATCCCAAAATTTATTTTCCATTCTATATATCATAAGTTGCGAGGGAATTCCTAACACAATTTGGAACACATGATTGATTTATTATTATATTAGCCTAATCCATCTCAATCTACAATAACAGTTCTATGTAGGCCCTGCAACATAAACTACTTCTTCTGCTTTATTTGTCACAGCGAGAAAGCTATAAAGAGAGAGGTCATGACAGCTACCATTACGAATCAACTGAACGATTGATAACAAAAGAATCAAGCTGAAGCAAGTTAGAAGGATAATGGACATTGTACTTTCTGGAGTACATGTAACGTTTTTTTTCTCTCGAATCAAGTTATAATATTTTTATATATATTTGTTACTCACTTCCTCTTATATCATACAACTTACTATATTAATAACAGTTGTAATTTTTACTAATGTATTTAAAAAAGTGTTACTATAATATTTCTTCATCGTAACCATACTTATTAAATATTTTATTTTCTTCCGTGATTGCTACTGCTTCGTACATAACTGTGAGTGGTCCATCCATGATAGCGTCAAAGATCCTTATTCGTTACTAACTCAAATTATACTTCCCGTGTCACATGGAAAAGTGGAGAAACACGTGAAGTGGAAGGAAGTAACAAATTCTTCAGGTACTACAAACATGCATTCTGAGTATATAAGATGCATGCAACTAATCAATATAATGACGCATTTGTACTACAATGGTCTCCTGCTATTTGTAAATAATACTATATATGCATACAAAATTCTCATTATCTGGAAGGATCCAGCATGAATCCTGGAAGTTCCGGGGACGAGTCGTCTTACAAGTCATCTGATCAAGTGAGTGACTATCTGGCCGAGTACACATTGGAAGGGAAATGGGATAAGGTTGTTGAAATGTACAAACAATCCCCAGCGTGTCACACGGCAATGATTAACGATGCCGTGGGCACTGCACTGCACGTGGCCGTGGATTTGGATGAAGAAGGTGTGGTTGAAGACCTTGTGGATGCGATTATCAGTCACAGCGATGGAGTGAAGATCAAGGCTCTGGAAATGGGGAACGATCGAGGGGACACCCCTCTGCATGTTGCGGCGTCGAGGGGTTTCGCAAAGATATGTAGATGCATCATAGGAATGAAGAAGGAGAGGATGTATTTGGTGAGTAAAAAGAACAAACATGGAGAGACACCTCTGTTTGAAGCTGCTATCAACTGGAAGAAACAGGTCTTTGCTTATCTTTCTGACGTCTTGGACCACAGCGCCCCCTTGCAAGATCTTGTGCGACACAATGGTGACTCTATCCTTCACTGTGCTATCAGTAGAGAATATTTTGGTATAGTTCTTATACTTATCTTCCTTTCCTGCTAAACATTCATTTCATATGCTATTAGGTACTTCTGGTCCCTACCAATTATGCATTTATATTTTTATTTTTTCTGTAAGTTAAAAAAATATATTTGTGTGAGGGAAGATGTAAAAAAGAGTTAGGACCATAAGATATTTTTTTTTTTTGCGTGATTTAGACCACTATATGTTATAGTTTTAACGGAACTTTATATGTAACATGTTATCACATTTTATGTATTCTTTCATCAAGGATATTTTATAAATGTTTGGGGTTGTGGATAAACTTGGAGGCCATATATATTCAGATTACTATATATATTGTTATATGATGCAGATTAATTAACAACTCAATCAAGAACTTTATTTAACAAATAGATTAGCCACTTAATATTTTATATTTTTATTTTGAAATAAGAGAATATTGTTATGGATATGGTGCAGATTTGGCTGTGATAATAGTGCGTTATTATGAATTCCTTAGCACATACAAGAATAAAGATGGATTACTTCCTCTCACAGTCCTTGCCACTAGGCCCTCGGCCTTCAGAAGTGCTACTACACTTTCATGGTGGAAGCAAATCCTCTACCACTGTAAGTATTGTTGTATATCTACTATATCCTATTACATGTTTGGATCGTTTAAATTCATTTTGAAATGAAGTGATGTTTAGATATTTTTATTAATGTAAACTTAATGTGTGAATTATCCATTTTAATGTAAAAGCTATTATTTTATCGGTTTTAATAAAATATTCATCAATTTTATCTAACAGTCGTAACATATCCATCTTTTAACTAAAATCACGCTGACATAAAATAAATATGTTTTTGATAACTTTCAATGGTAAAATAAGAAACACACCCATTGAAAATAGGACTATATTGTAGTTTCTGATTTAAATAAGGTGACATGTGTATTGTTTCTTTTGTTTAGAAAAGAGGAATAATAGGTGAATTAGTGATATATAGTTTTTAAAAATACGCGCATTTAGGGATCATAAATACAAATGTAAAAATAATTCCATCTACTTTGCAATTTTTGATTTTGTAAAAGGTATGCTTGTGGAACCGGTGAACGCTGAAAGACAAATGAAGACAATGTTAGAAAAGATGGAGAAGAAACCAAAATCGGACAAAGTGAATTATCCAAAGAACTACGCCACACTACATGACTTGATTGCTGGACTCACTACTCTTGGTGCTTCTCCTTAGTTCACTATATAGTTTCTTAAACGCTATCTATTTACACATTTTTTTCTTTGATCAGGCAAATTTTCAACGAAAAATAATCAGAATGATTCAGAGAAGCCGAAAAAACGTAAAATTGTACTCGAAACTTCTCAAGTTGGATTTTTGCCACCAAATTATGTAACCAGTCAACAATTTGTGAGGTCTGCATACGTGCATATTCTTGGCCTCTCAGGAGTAGGTATGTTTTCTTCATGTTAATTTTATTGATCTATTAATTAGTAGCTATTTAACTATTGTACTGCAAAATGGTTTAATTAATACTTCGATCTGGTTTGATTGTACTTTTTAAGAATTGAAGGAAATAAGGAATACAAAGAGGAGGCATGAATGGAGTGGTCAACTCTTGAAGGCACTATTGGAAAAACCTTATGCAGCATTCACAGGAAGTGGGGGTGTCCCAACCGATATGAAAGTTGAAGCAGATATGTATAAAGTTTTCAGCCAATATAAACAAGGTATGTACGTATAGTACACGAACTCTGTATCTTATATTAACTCTATTACGTTTAAATTTGGTGTTTTTTTATCACTCTTCTTAGATGTATATATAGTTTTAATTTAAAATGACCAACCTATTTATTTTTAATGAAGATCAAAAGAATTAATATTAAAACCCTTAATATTCAACGTCAATCCCCATTTTTTTTAGAATCGACCTTAAGTGTCTACACTTTTAAAATTAAATTTCTATAAATAATGTTAATTTTTATAATTTTAATAATCATTCAAAAATTAATATTATATATACTATAAAATCAATATTAAATATTGTTATTGTAATAGTCACATAAATTATAAATTTATTTTTCTGTCATTAGACAAAATGATAAATTTATTTTCACTTTAATTTATATATATATATATATATATATATATATATATATATATATATATATATATATATATATATATATATAAACATGATTTGACTGTCTTCTCACGTTTTTTTCCAACTACTATATTAACAATTTATGAAATATTATCAACTAAAATGAGTTTTTTCAATATTTTTCTTTGAATTTATTTATTTTTACGTTGGCATTGAAATGATATAATTTATGGAAGAAAGATTTAATTATACTATGTACTATACTTTAGCATTCAAATCAAGATGGTAGATGTAATAATTTTTTTCACTATTGCAATAGTATACTGCGAAAACTAATTTAAGAAAAAAAGGTTGAAGATGATGAGTAAATTTAAAAAAGTAATCCTGCGAATTGGGATGGTTGGAAGATGAGGAAAAACATTTACCTTTCTTCTTGTTTGTCTTGACAATGGCAGTTGAAGCCAGCGAATTGGGATGGTTGGATGATGAGGAAGAAAAAGAAATACAAACTAACGGCAAAATATCTGCAAGTCCAAGAAGTGACACAATTAAGAAAGAAACTGATGAACTTAGTAATGAGAAGAACATTAACAAAAAGGAAACAGCATTTCTGGTTGCAGCGAAAAATGGCATAGTTGAAATGGTGAACGAAATTTTATATCGAATTCCTAGTGTCATCCATAACACTAATTCAAAGAAAGAGAATGTGTTGCTTGTGGCAGTGATTAACAGGCAACCCCTTATTGTTGAGAGTTTGAAAAGGAAGATGCAGTCAAAACCAGAAGTTTGGAATAACTTAATTCTGACAGTAGATGAAGATGAGAACACCATATTGCACTTGGCAGCATATGCTCCAACCGGCGATAAGTCTCCACAAATAGCTGGTTCTGCCTTGCAAATGATGTGGGATATAAAGTGGTTTCAGGTATATACACAAACACAAATACTTTTTTTTTTTTCTTCTTAATTTAATAGTTAGAATTCACGTGACTTAAAATTACATCATTGATTAAAAGTTGAAAAGCTAAATAACATATAATCCTAATGGTCTAATATTTTTGTTAAAGGTAGTGTTATATTTTTATCCATGTGAAGAGTTTATTTAAGCTGGTAGTTTGTCTGAACTTCAAATAGGTAAACTTTTCATCATATGAAAAAATGATTGAATATTATCTTGAAACATGTTACTAGGGTATTTCATAAAATGAACCTCTATTATATTTTTTTTTTGGTGCAGTATATTAAAAGGCTTGTGCCACAACACTTTTACTATAGAAGCGACAAAAACGGCAAAACAGCGGGGGAAGTATTCGAGGACACACATAAAGATCTTATAGAGGAAAGTGGAGATTGGCTGAAGGAAACATCTGAATCTTGCTCTGTTGTGGCTGGACTTGTCGCTGGTGTTTCCTTTGCTACTGCCAGCTCCATCCCCGGGGGCACCAACAACGAAGGTAGGCCTCATTTAGAAGGAAAACCTGCATTCGATGCATTTGCCGTTGCTTCACTCGTTGGACTTTGCTTCTCTGTCACTGGACTCATAATGTTTCTTACCATCCTCACTTCTCGAAAGCAATCCAAAGATTTTCGCAGAGCTTTGCCATTCAAAATACTTCTAGGTCTGAGCTCTCTTTTTGTATCCATTGCTGCAATGTTTGTCTCTTTCTGCTCCGGTCATTATTTCCTGCTTAGTCACAGATACAAGATGGTCCTATTCCCCATTTATGTAGCCACTGTTTTTCCTGTCACTTTCTATGCTGTGGCGCAGTTTCCACTTTACTTTGATCTTCTAAGGGCCATCTTAGCTATGGTGCCACGGGCAACTGATAAAGGAGAGAAGTTATAGGAGCTAAGTTACTACCATGTCATTGTGTGTGTGGTATTGAATTCATCATTCATGTAATTACCATTCAAATAATTTCTTTTTTGAGTCGGGTTTGTATTTAAAAAGTGACGTGTGTGCCTGTTTTGTGGGTGAATAACAAACCAGTTTGGTTTGAACAATCATGTTTTTGAGCGATGAAAAATAGCTTTTGAAATGTATCTATGTTGATTTGGTTGTTTCTAAAGTTGCGATTGAAGAGAAATTTATTTTGAACATTCTTGGTTTAATGCGTAAAATAAATTTGACTTCAATTTTGCATGAGAGAGATGAGAATCACAATGTGACTGTGAGAGCTATATAATATCTTATATAATATGTTGTCGCTTCTATGCGAGTTTCTCCCTTCTCATTTCTTTACACATGGGTGACTGTGATCCGAGTTTTTCAGTTATCATTTTTTTTATATGTACGAGTGACTGTTTTTGTAATTGTGAGAACTACAACATTTTATAATTAAGTAATTAGTTATTATCTCTCAAACAAAAATAATTTCATCAAAATCAATTGTAAATAAACATAGTATCTTATAATTAATTTGATTCTCTAAACAAATACAATATCTAAAGTTTTTTTTTGGTAAAAATTATCTTGAAAATAGTTATGCTCTTTATCACAATTTGTCATTAATCTATTAATAACTCTCATTATTTATATAATGTCTGGTCTTGTAATGATCATATATTTATAATATTTTCTACCGTTAATACAAATAATACTTAAATCATTTTCATCTTGGGTGTTTCATTGTTAAGACTCATATTTGAGGATAACTTCATAGAGAATGAGGTAGAAACTGATTTATACTTTTACATGTTGAAACACTACAATACCTTTAATAAATAATTTTTTGATAAAGTCAAACTTTCTTATATTTAATGTTGATAAATTGACATTCTTAAAATATTGTTTATTAGTCTCTAGTTCTTCATATTAAACTGCCCAGTGATATATGTCATTTTACTATTTATTTCTTGATCTAAGAGTATTTTTTAAATTAATTATTTTTTTCATAAATTATGTATTTAACATGTTTTCATAAAAAGTAAATCATAATTCAATTTTTCTTAATTTATTGTATTTTGCATAATTTTAGCATAAAAATTAATATATATGCATTTACAATACATATTTATTTTCTTCTTTTATATGAGAAAAATAATAAAATTTTACCATAAAAAAGAATATGATACTATGTTTAACAAAAAATCTTAAGATATTATATTAAGAATTTTTTTTCACTTGTAACTTATTTAATTTTCTTATTTCTACTAAGGTTAAAATCCCACTTTAATTATCAACGTAACGGTGTTATCCTCTATCACTATGTTTTCATTTTTCATATATTCCATTCAAAAAATTAAGTGATATCACTTTCAAGGTTTGGGATCTTTATGTCCAATGGAAAATATTTTTTTCAAACCAAAACCCGACTCATTGAGAAAAGGCCTTTCTTGATGTATTGTGATTGTCTTTATCCTTATATATTGTGTTTGATTGGCTAATTCTAATTTGAGGATCAAAACTCTCTAACAGTAGTTGATGGCCTTTATCTTCGATCTGCAAAGTTGATTGCTCTTGATTGTTTCTAGTTTTGTTCAGTCACTCTGAACAGAGGCTAAAGAAAAAGTAAAATAAAGGTCCTGGGGAGAGCTAAGAATCAGCAAGTCCAAAAAAGGAAGAAGTTCATGGAAATTGTACTTTTACTCGACATGGTGGGCCAGTGAATGAAACAAAGTAATGGTTAATTTCGATACAAGCGAAAAGAAGAGAGAGAAAGAAAACCTAAGATGAAGTGTCCGTAGGTTAGAATTTGTTTTTTTTTTTTTTTGCCCTTTTCCATAACCGATTGGGCCATCATAATAACCTCGAAGATAATTATTATCTCCAAAATTATTCCTCCCTTGTCACCTACAAAAAGTGACATGACATAACATGTGAAGTTGACGTATCAAATTCCTTATTTTGTATATAAGATGTGCATGCACAACATAATAACGCATTATCAGTACTTCCGACAAACATTCATTCCATTATTTGAAGTTCCAGAAGGATCGAGTATGAATCCTGGAAATTTTGAGGAGGAGGAGTCTTCCAATTCATCTGATCAAGTGAGTGACTATCTAGCCGAGTACACATTGGAAGGAAAATGGGATAAGGTTGTGGACATGTACAAACAATCCCCAGCGTGTCACACGGCAATGATTAACGATGCCGTGGGCACTGCACTGCACGTGGCCGTGGATTTGGACGAAGAAGGTGTGGTTCAAGAACTTCTGGATGCGATTATCAGTCACAGCGATGAAGTGAAGATCAAGGCTCTGGAAATGGGGAACGATCGAGGGGACACACCTCTGCATGTTGCGGCTTCGAGGGGTTTCGCAAAGATATGTAGATGGATCATAGGAATGGAGAAGGAGAGGATGTATTTGGTGAGTAAAAAGAACAAACATGGAGAGACACCTCTGTTTGAAGCTGCTATCAACTGGAAGAAACAGGCCTTTGCTTATCTTTCTGACGTCTTGGGCCACAGCGCCCCCTTGCAAGATCTTGTGCGACACAATGGTGACACTATTCTTCACTGTGCTATCAGTAGAGAATATTTTGGTATGTTTCTCATACCTATCTGCTATTCCTGCTAAACATTCATATTTACGTAATCCACTAAGGTTAGTTATAGTGTCAAACGATTTCATTAGAAATAATAGTTTTTTTCCATTAAAATTTTAAATAAATTATTTTTCATAATTTAATCTAAATTTAAGAGGGCATACTATATTATTTGTTTCTATTTAGTTTGTATATATGTTGATTACTCATTATAGTTATATATATATACATGACGCAGATCTGGCTGTGATAATAGTGCATTATTATGATTTCCTTAGCACACATAAGAATAAAGAGGGATTGACTCCTCTCACAGTCCTTGCCACTAGGCCCTCGGCCTTCAGAAGTGCTACCAAACTTTCATGGTGGAAGCGAATCCTCTACCACTGTAAGTAAAATTAACATCACCAACTAGTTTAAAAGGGCTATGTTCCAAATATAACTATATTTTAGTTTCAGATTTAATCTGGTGTATGTTTTGTTTAAGTATATGTTTACAGTCGGATATTTATATACAGCCTAACTTGAGACCTCCAATTTATAATATTGTAAAAGTGTTCTAAAAATTTATTATATGAATAGTATATAACCTTTTGAAGTGTGCACATACGACCATATTACAGTGATAGTGTGTATGTAAAGTTGCATCGATGTATAGACTGCATACTTTTGTGTGTGAAAGGTATACTTGTAGAACCACTACTGGACCCTGAAAGACAAATGAAGGCGAATCTCGAAAAGATGAAGGAGAATCCCAACTCTGATAAAGTGGATTATCCAAAGAACTACGCCACATTATATGATTTCTTTGCTGGGTCGTTAAGTGTATTTGGTATGTGAACGGGTTTCATGCTGCCATATCGTCTTTCTTCTTTTACTTTATGCCATCACTTTATTCTTTTCTTTACTAATACTTAATATTTACTCAAACCTATATTATTACACACGTCTTCACAGACATTGGTTCAGAAAAAGGGAGAACGATTTTACTCGATCATAAGGAAGGAAGCTTGGAGTGTGTTTCATAAGACAAATAACTTGGTTCCTAATAAACTATATTAGAGTAGCTTGAAAACTTGTTTTATTCATATATAGAGTTGCTTCAGAAAATAACTTTTTTCATTATAAGTGATTTTTAAATTTCTATATCTATAAATAAATATAGCACGTAGTATACTGCACTGCATAACATATATACGCTGTCGGTTGGAAATAATATATAAATTAAATAAATCTAAATGGTTACAAAACTGTCCAATTTTTTTTAACGATAATACTAGAATGTAAGACCTAATGCATACTATAATATTAGTTTCTTTGAGATATATCTATTAATTTCTGACGCATTTTTTTTTTTTTTGCGCAGGAAAAATTCCCACGAAAAATAATCAGCATGACTCAGAAAACCCATCCTTAAAGTGTACAATTGGATTTGGAACTCCCAAGGTTGGATTTTTACCACCAAATTATGAAACCGCTCAACAATTTATTAGGTCCTCATATGTACATTCTCTTGGCCTCTCAGGAGTGGGTATGTATTCTTCATGCTGTTTTCTAGATCTATATTTATTACTAGCTACATTTTAAATGTTGATCAAAGGCAAGATGGTTTAACTAACACGATTGATCTGGTTTGATTGCACTTGTTTCTTTAAGCATTGAAGGAAATAAAGAAGACAAAGAAGAGGCATCAATGGAGTGGTCAACTCTTGAAGGCACTACTGGAAAGACCTTATGCAGCATTCACAGGAAGTGGAGGTGTCCCAACCGATATCAAAGTCGAAGCAGATATGTACAATGTTTATAACCAATATAAACAAGGTACGTAAGAAAGAATAGAACACGGATTATTAATCTATAGCTTCAAATTTAAAGGATTAGTGGTTCTTTCATTGAGTTAGTTTTATATAACTTTAGAGGATCAGAGCCAATTCTGTAGAATTTCTTTATTTCGTCTTTTTGTATAACCTTAAATGTGAAAAATCTGAATCATTACATTTTCCTTGTTTGACTTGGCGCTGACAGGTGAAACCAGTGAATTGGGATGGTTGGAAAAGAAAACAGAGGTTGATGACAAAAGCCCTGAAAGTCGAAGTGAGACGACGAAGAAGGAAACGGGTGAACAAGCTAAAGAAGGAAAGATTGACAAAAAAGAGACAGCATTTCTGGTTGCAGCGAGAAATGGCATAGTTGAAATGGTGAATGAAATTTTATGCCGAATTCCAAGTGTCATCCATAACACTAACGCAAAGAAAGAAAATGTGCTGCTTGTGGCTGTGTTGAATAGGCAACCCCTTGTTGTTGAGAGTTTAAAAATGAAGATGCAGTCAAAACCAGAAGTTTGGAATAACTTAATTCTGACAGCAGATGAAGATGAGAACACAATGTTGCACTTGGCAGCATATGCTCCTGGAGGCGATAAACCTTGGCAGATAGCTGGTTCTGCCTTACAAATGGTGTGGGATATAAAGTGGTTTCAGGTATATATACAAACACATAAAATCTTAATCTTGTTTAATATACTTCTTAATATAACCCTTTCTTTAGCATACAAACACATACAAAGTGGTTTCAGAGGTACACACTTCTGAATTTAAAGTGTACACTTTGTGACGTTGAGGTTTTCATATTTTAAAATAAAGGGGTGTAACTAATGAAATTGTAATATAATAATAATAATAATAATAATAATAATAATAATAATAATAATAATAATAATAATAATAATTGCACAACGAAAATGCCATTTCATGAAAGTAATGAGTTCCTCAGATAGATATAAGTTTTTTTCCATAACAGGTGTTAAAATAAGTACGAAGGATTTATATTAATGGAGAATTTAAAATACACTGAATATTACAAATATTATATTAATAATCGAATTTTAGAAAAATATAACCAATATACATATATTATCATTAGTAAACTTCTAAAATAATTATTATAGAAATAAAAAAAACTTCTAGATAATTGTTATAAAAATCAAGAAAAATGATTGTGAAAAAAAAAATTGTATGAAATGGTAGAAAGAGTAGATAAACGAAGTGCAATTATTGCAATATTTGATGCTTTTATTTTTCTTTGGAGCAGTATATTAAAAGCCTGGTGCCACAACACTTTTACTTCAGAAGCGACAAGAAGGGCAAAACCGCAGGGGAAATCTTCGAGGATACACATAAAAAACTGATAAAGGAGAGTGGGGAGTGGCTGAAGGATACATCTGAATCGTGTTCTGTTGTGGCTGCACTTGTCGCTGGTGTTTCCTTCACAGCAGCCAGCAGCATCCCTGGTGGCACCAACGATGAAGGTAAGCCTAACTTAGAAGGCAAGCCTGCATTCGATGCATTTGCCATTGCTTCGCTTATTGGACTTTGCTTTTCCGTCACTGGTCTCATAATGTTCCTTACCATCCTCACTTCTCGAAAGCAAGCCAAAGATTTTCGCAGAGATTTGCCACTCAAACTTCTTCTTGGCTTGAGTTCTCTTTTCGTATCCATTGCTGCAATGTTTATTTCTTTCTGCACCGGCCATTTTTTTCTTCTTAGTCACAGATACAAGACGGTCCTATACCCCATTTATGCAGCCACTGTTTTTCCTGTAACTTTCTATGCTGTGGCACAGTTTCCTCTATACTTTGATCTTCTAACGGCCATTTTAACTACGGTTCCACGACCAAGTGATAAAGGAGACAAGTTATAGGACCTAACCAAAGCTACTGGCATATCATTTCAGTGTGATATTCGACTCGTGTAATTGTCATCCAAATCTCGTTTTGGTTTGTCGATTTTTATTTTGTGTGCATTATGCAATAATAATTTCCGCTACGGAAAAAACTTCTGATTGTACCAAATTTGTGTTGGTTGTGCAGTAGAGTTTGCTATTTTGGAGAAATGTTTCTGGACGGACATTCCTGGTGTAATAATAATGCCACAAATAATTTTGATTGCAACTTCAAAGGTCATGTTATGTTATATGCTTAACTTTTGTGTCACATTCACTATCTAATCTAGTTAGTTCTTATCAGGGTTTTCCCAAACTAAAATTTTGAAATTCCTAAAAAGTTTCAAACACATAATAAACTATCCCTAATCCAACTATCTAATAAAACGTTTGTCTCCAGCGGGTTGACCCCGGATTGACAAGACAACCATCAAGCTTCGTCCAATGAAGTAAAAAAAAAAGTTTCTCTTCTGCCTTGGGAAGTGAACCGTGGCCCAACCCAAGCACTTTAACACTCATGAGAATTAAAAGAATTCTTTATCTCAACTATTCACATTATTTATTAAACTATCGTATTCCCACCACATTAAAATGATTTTTATACAGGAACAACAAATTATTAGAACCTAAAACTTTGTACATATTACCTAAATCTATCACTACATGGTGGATGCCAGTTTTAAATTAAAATTGTTAATATATATTAAACACTACTAAAAATTCTCATTTTTCATGGGAATATTTTTGCAAAGTTTTGGTAAAAATGACAAGAAATAAGTTTTCTATAAATTTAAACAATTTAAAAAAAAATTGGCAGAAAAAAACTATTTTTCTAGTAGTGAAAGATATTCCTTTTATAAATCGAATCAAAATATTATAATTGAAAATAAAAATAATTATTATGATTTATATATTTAAAAAGTAATCAAAATATAAAAAATATATATTTGAAGTAATAAAAAAGAAAAGAAAAGAAAATCTAAAATAATATTTTAAAAAGTTAATTATAAAAAAAATATAGACACACACACGTTTTAAGGCCTGTGTTTCCATTAGTTCATAATAAAAGAGATTTCTTTTATAACTGTTTTTTTAACGTCATCAGAAAGGAAAAAAATGTCATAATTTATAATTAATATATTCTAAAAATAATAAAAATAGAAGAAAGAAAAAAATTTGATATATTCAAAAAGTGAAAAAAATATGAAATTTTAATTTTAATTTTTAAAAAATTAAGTTTCATAATCTAAACCCATCCCACTTCTTTTCATGATCTTGAGTGTTATACGGTTTCTTCAGTTACAATGCTTAATAAAGAAAAAAGATTATTCCTTTTGATTTACTTTTTTTTTTAAAGAACCAGGTACATATAGACACATGAAACACGCAAAAGGTTAAAGCTTCCTCAGTTAAGCATAACTTTTTGTGTTATAACAATTAAAACTAGCAATAATGAAAAAAGAGAGTTAAACATTAGAACAAACCTAATTGAAAATAGGAAAAAAAAATTGGAAGTCATTTTGGAAATAATTTGAGATAGAAAATTGTGATGATCTCTACCATTTTTTTAAATAACTACTTATATTAAAATTATTAATAAGAGTTAAGATCTCATTTAGAGAAAATGTACCTGAAGAAACTTAAAATTTGTGAGGATATAAATTTTTTCCATTAATTATCACTTTTAAAATTTTATAAAGAAACAAACGAAATATATTTTTTAACTAAATTATTTATATATAAATAAAAAATTTAGTTTTAAAAAAGTTAATGTGAAAGAAATTTCACAATTTTGGTTTCGTGTAATAAAAATAAGAAGAAAACAACAAGTTCCATAAAAATTCAAAAAGGAAGGATAAGAGGATGGAACTTAACTAAGCATCCTTCTTCAATATTCATGTTTCAGTCTCCTTCAGCTTCTTCCTTCTCCCTACTTTTCTGTTTAAGAAGTGAAAAAAAAAAACATGGTAGAGAATGCAAAAGTGAAGAATGAGGATGTATTTTGATTTTTCTATTTTCAAAAATGCTCACTGTATATAACATTGTTTTAGGATCACAAAACAAAAAGAAGGCGATATGGAAGTTTCTAAATTATTTTTTTTATTATTTAGAAAACAATTTCAAAATTTAATGAATTTTGAATGAGAAATTAAATACAAATTATGTTAAAAAACTGTTTTTATAACCAAAACTTGGCCAGTAAATCAAACATGCCCTGCCTTGTACTAGCGTATTTTTTTACATGATGACTTGAAATGGAAGCCCAAAAATACCCACGCATTAATCTTAAATTTGCATGTGGAAGAAAAATTACAATTTTTTTCAGTCACATCATTCATTATTATTTTTTATTATTACTTTAACTCAGCTACAATCTATTAATATATTTGAGATATATATGATCTAATGTTAAGTTAAGTGTTTCACCTTAGTTTTATCTTAAATATCATATAATGAGTTTATATATATATATATATATATATATATATAAACTATTTTTAATATCATATAAAATGTTTTAGATGTATGATAAAAAATCCTCAATTAAAAAAAACTAAAGAATTATAAATAATACATAAATTACTCTACAATCATGAGAAATTATTTTTTGAAGTACATATGAGAACTTTTTTTTTTCAAGTACATACACTAAATTTTAAAGTTAGAAATATTGTGACAATCCTCTCATCCAAAATTTATTTTCCATTCTATATATCATAAGTTGCGAGGGAATTCCTAACACAATTTGGAACACATGATTGATTTATTATTATATTAGCCTAATCCATCTCAATCTACAATAACAGTTCTAGGTAGGCCCTGCAACATAAACTATTCTTCTGCTTTATTTGTCACAGTGAGAAAGCTATAAAGAGCGAGGTATCAAGCTGAAGCAAATTAGAAGGATAATGGACATTGTACTTTCTGGAGTACATGTAACGTTTTTTTTTTTTTTTCTCTCGAATTAAGTTATAATATTTTTATATATATTTGTTACTCACTTCCTCTTATATCATACAACTTACTATATTAATAACAGTTGTAATTTTTACTAATGTATTTAAAAAAGTGTTACTATAATATTTCTTCATCGTAACCATACTTATTAAATATTTTATTTTCTTCCGTGATTGCTACTGCTTCGTACATAACTGTGAGTGGTCCATCCATGATAGCGTCAAAGATCCTTATTCGTTACTAACTCAAATTATACTTCCCGTGTCACATGGAAAAGTGGAGAAACATGTGAAGTGGAAGGAAAGTATCAAATTCTTCAGGTACTACAAACATGCATTCTGAGTATATAAGATGCATGCAACTAATCAATATAATGACGCATTTGTACTACAATGGTCTCTTGCTATTTGTAAATAATACTATATATGCATACAAAATTCTCATTATCTGGAAGGATCCAGTATGAATCCTAGAAATTTTGAGTCGTCTTCCAATTCATCTGATCAAGTGAGTGACTATCTAGCGGAGTACACATTGGAAGGAAAATGGTATAAGGTTGTGGACATGTACAAAGAATCCCCAGCGTGTCACACGGCAATGATTAACGATGCCGTGGGCACTGCACTGCACGTGGCAGTGGATTTGGACGAAGAAGGTGTGGTTCAAGACCTTCTGGATGCGATTATCAGTCACAGCACTGAAGTGAAGATCAAGGCTCTGGAAATGGGGAACGATCGAGGGGACACACCTCTGCATGTTGCGGCTTCGAGGGGTTTCGCAAAGATATGTAGATGGATCATAGGAATGGAGAAGGAGAGGATGTATTTGGTGAGTAAAAAGAACAAACATGGAGAGACACCTCTGTTTGAAGCTGCTATCAACTGGAAGAAACAGGTCTTCGCTTATCTTTCTGAAGTCTTGGACCACAGCGCCCCCTTGCAAGATCTTGTGCGACACAATGGTGACACTATTCTTCACTGTGCTATCAGTAGAGAATATTTTGGTATGTTTCTTATACTCATATTTTATAGCTATGTTTAGTAGGCAAAATTATAACTTTTATATATATATATATATAATTTTTTTTTTTGTTATGGATATGATGCAGATTAATTAACAACTTCATTTAGCAACTTAATGTGTTTTTGTTTTGAAATAACAGAAAGCTATGTATACTGATTACTACATATTGTTGTGGATATGGTGCAGATTTGGCCGTGATAATAGTGCATTATTATGATTTCATTATCACACATAAGAATAAAGAGGGATTAACTCCTCTCACCCTCCTTGCCACTAAGCCCTCGGCCTTCAGAAGTGCTACCAAACTTTCACTGTGGACGCAAATCCTCTACCAGTGTAAGTGCTGTATATCTATATACTGTATTTGGATTGTTTAATTAATTTTGAAATGAAGTGATGTTTAGATATTTTTATTAATGTAAAATTTAGTGTAAAATTATTCATTTCAATGTAAAAGCTATCATTTATCAGGAGACAGAGAGGTGTATGCTTTCTTTTGTTTAGAAGAAGAGAGGTACATAGTATTAGCAGATTAATGATATATACTTTTTTTAAAATATGCACATTTACGAAGCATAAATACAAGGTCCGTAACGTAGAAATTCTATCTACTTCGTAAAGGTACGATTGTGGAACCAGTGAACCCTGAAAGAAAAATGCAGACAATTTTGGTAAAGATGAAGAAGCAGCCAAACTCTCCAAAAGTGAAATATCCAAACAACTACGCCACATTATGTGACTTCATTGTTGTATTCAAAAGTCTTGCTGCTGTAATTGGTATGAACGGTTCCGATGCTATCTTCTCTTTCTTCTTTATTTTCTTTTTTACTTTTGGGGAACTGGTATCTTAAACTCTATTTACACATTTTCCTTTTGATCAGGTAAATTTTTTACGGAAAAAGTTCAGCATTACTCAAAAAAGGCGAAGCAGCCTGAAATTATATTTGAAACTGCTCGGGTTGGATTTTTTCGACCAAAATTTGAAACCAGTAAACAATTTGTGAAATCTGCATATGTATTTATTCTCACCCTTACCCTCTCAGGAGTAGGTATGTTTTCTTCTTGTTAATCTTTTTGATCTATTGCTAGCTAATGGTTAAAGATTCTACCGCACAATGGTTTAATTAATAAGATTGATCTGGTTTGATTGTACTACTTGCTTTTTAAGAATTAAAGGAAATAAAAAAGACGAAGAAGAGGCATGAACGGAGTGGCCAACTCTTGAAGGCACTATTGAAAAGACCTTATGCAGCATACACAGGAAGTGGGGGTATCCCTACCGATATCCTTGTTGAAGCAGATATGTATAATGTTTATATGGAATATAAACAAGGTATGTATGTATACAACACGAACAATGTATCTTACGTTATGTTAATTGTATTACGTTAAAATTTTGTGTTTTCTAACACTCTTCTTAGATGTATGTAGTTTTAATTTAATGTGATCAACCTATTTAATTTTTATGAAGATCAAAAGTGATAGAAACAAATTCTTTATTTGATAGTCATGTGAAAATTTGACGAGGGACAATCGGCGCCCATATCATATTCTATTATTTGGCATTCGGAATCTAAGCATTGTTTATAACTCCATAACAAGTTTTTTTTTTTTTTTGTCATGTTAGGACAAATTGGTAATTTACTTTCACTTTAGTTTTCTGTGAAATTATATATATATTACACTGTATTCTCAAATGTTTTTCCAACTACTATATATATTAGCACCTTTTAAAATATTTCCACGTAGAAAATATCTTAAGAGTAATGATTATGTCATGATTTTTGAAAATATTTAAAACAAAAACTAAATTCATACAATTATATATAAGATTAAAAAAATAAATTTGAGAAAATAAAATATCAACTATAATGAGTTGTATGAATATTTTTCTTTTTGAATTTATTTCTTTTTACACCGGCATTGAAAAGATAAACGTTAACATTCAATTTTTTTTCACTGTTACAAAGGGCACAGTAGGTCAAATTACTTCAAAACTAATTTAACAAAAAAATAAGTTTGAAGATGATGAGTAAATTTAAAAGTAATCCTGCGAATTGGTATGGTTGGAGGATGAGGAACAACACATTACCTTCTTCTTGTTTGACTTGGCACTGACAGGTGAAACCAGTGAATTGGGATGGTTGGAGGAAGAAAATAAAACAGAGGTTGATGACGAAAACCCTCAAGGTATGGACAAAAGATGGACAAGAAAAACGGGTCAAGAAGCTGAAGAAGGAAAGATGGACAAAAAAGAGACAGCATTTTTGGTTGCAGCGAGAAATGGCATAGTTGAAATGGTTTATGAACTTTTATACCGAATTCCAAGTGTCATCCACAACACTAATTCAATGAAAGAGAATGCGTTGCTGGTGGCAGTGATTAACAGACAGCCCCTTGTTGTCGAGAGTTTGAAAAAGATGATGCAGTTCAAACCAGAAATTTGGAATAGCTTAATTCTGACAGTAGATATAGATGAGAACACCGTGTTACACTTGGCAGCATATGCTCCATCCACCGACAAGTCTCCACAGGTAGCTGGTTCTGCCTTGCAAATGATGTGGGATGTAAAGTGGTTTCAGGTATATGCACAAGCAAATACTTCTTTTATTGCTTTAATTTAATTTTACACTCTTGATGATCATTAGGTGTTATGACATCTTTTTCCAAGTTTTCTTTTCACATCTTGGAAAATTTCACTCATTTTGACTATATATATTACAAAAGCGAAATTATTACCTGTTAACCTGTTGTAGCTATAGCTTTGATTAATTACGTGAAAATTACTATAAATTAATACATTTGGAGCATGGGAATTGCATTAATATATTATTAAAGATTTGACGATTAAAAATTATATCTGCACTGGTGTAATCTTTCTCTAATACATAATATTAAGTGTTATACTAGATGGTTTAATTATATAGAAAATTGATTTATATTATTTGCATGGAGTGTATATATATCAAGTGAAATTTGTGGTTATATATTTTGAGAAAAAAGTAAAGATAGTTTATTATGCACTTGGTCAAGAAAGGTTGATATATATGGTTTGTCCCTCCCTGTGAAGGGTTTAATAAAGCTGCTAGTTTGTCTGAACTTTTGATAGGTAGAACATTTCATCATTCCAAATTAAATTGTACATGACAACAAAATTATTGTCTATCATCTTGAAACATGCTACTAGGGTATTAAAAAAAATGAACCTCTATTATGTTTTTCTTTGGAGCAGTATATTCAAAGGCTTGTGCCACAACACTTTTACACAAGAAGCAACAACAGGGGCAAAACCCCAGGAGAAATATTCGAGGAAACACATCAATTTCTTATAGAGAAAAGTGGCGATTGGCTGAAGCAAACATTTGAATCTTGCTCTGTTGTGGCTGGACTTGTTGCTGGAGTTACCTTTGCTACTTGCAGCACCATCCCCGGTGGCACCAACGACCAAGGTAGGCCTCATTTGGAAGGAAAACCTGCATTCAATGTATTTGTCATTGCTTCACTTGTTGGACTTTGCTTCTCTGTCATTGGACTCATAATGTTCCTTATCATCATCACTTCTCCAATGCAATCCAAGGATTTTCGTAGAGCTTTGCCATTCAAAATTCTTCTAGGCCTGAGCTCTCTTTTTATATCCATTGCTGCAATGTTTGCCTCTTTCTGCTCCGGCCATTATTTTTTGCTTAGTCACAGATACAAGATGGTCCTATTCCCCATTTATCTCGCCATTGTTATTCCGGTCACTGTCTATACTGTGTCGCAGTTTCCACTATACTTTGATTTTATAACGGCCATTTTAGCTAGGGTTCCACGATCAAGTGATACGGGAGAAAAGTTATAGGACCTAACCAAAGCTTCTACCATTTCAGTGTGGTATTGGACTCGTGTAATTGGCATAGGAATCTTTTTTTGGTCTGTCGATTTGATTTGGTGCCCATTTATGTAATAATAATGTGAGCTGCGGAAAAATTCTAAATTGCAGCAACTTTGTGCTGGTTGTGCAATACAGTTTGCTATTTTGGAGAAATGTTTATGGACATTCCTGGTGTAATATTGGCTCGAATAATTTTGATTGCAACTTCGAAGCTCATGCTATGTTATATGCTTAACTTTTGTGTCTCGTTCACATTCTACTATAGGTCTTGTTTAAGTCCCTGGTTATTCTATAATTGATTTTGACTCCTTAACATCGCATTAAAAATGAGAACCTAGTTAAGGTATAATCTTATTACAACCTTGATACAAATTTTTATCTGGACAGTTAAATTTTCCGACCAAAAAAGAACCTAGTTAATTTCATTTTTTAATTAACGTCAATTGAGCACTAATTAGTTCGCATTAGGGTAGCCTTTGCACAAACCAAAAATTTAAAATCCCAAAAAAAATTCCAAACACATTATTGATTAGCCCTAATCAACTATCTAATTAAACGTCTGTCTGCCGCGGGCTAAACCCTGATTGACAAGACAACCACCAAGGCTTCGTCCTATGAAGTATGGAACAAAAACATGTTTGTCGTCTGCTTTATCTCTTTTTCCCACGTTTCCTCAGTCACAGTAAAAGCGAAAAATAGAAATGACAGCTAAATGAACGTACAAAGTTCCAGAAAGAAGATAATCGTTGTTTTCTAGAGTTGGTTCTCGTAACATGTAAGAAAAATGATAGATATCTAACTCGATGAGGTTTATTTCAATTATATATATTACAAGATCTTGTACGAAATAATGGGGACTGTATCATTCCTTCATTGTGCTGATACTATTTACATTGCACTGATTACTATATTGCAGATTTGGCGTCATATTGGTTTTCGACAAGATGATTTTATTGCACCTGCTTTTTAAGGGTCAAATGTAGTAGGGAAGATAGAAAAGAAGATGAATGGGGTGGTCAAACCCTTGAAGGCAATAATCAAAAACTGGTAGAGAGAATGAGGATCCCACCGATTTAGACATTGAAGCAGGTCTATATAATGTTTGTATAGCAATTGGAACAAAGGGTATCTATCTATATAACACTTTTTCTAACTATAACTAAATTTGTTCCCATCGTTATATCAAAATTCTCTTGTGTCATGTTTGGATTGGGGGTGGATTTAAGGGAAAGGAAAAAAAGAAAATGAGAGTAAAAAGTGAGTTATTTGGAGGGAAGAAAAAATAATAAAAAAATAAATTTTAAAAATATAAAAGATGAGATTCACGTGACGTGATTAAATAAAATAATTGAAATAATAATATAAGATATATAATTATCAGAATATTCTTTCTTTTATAATAAATAAAATAAATATATATTAGAATTATAATATAATTTAATATAAATTAATTAATTTATATTATATATAAAATTATGAGATATATTAAAATTATTTTATATATAAAATATATAAATAATATGTGATATTTTGTACGAATATTTAAATTTTTTTGTTTATTACCTTAATAATAATTTATAAGTTTTTAAAAATTTGTAAAAAATTGATTTCATATAAAATACAATGTGTAAATAACATCCAAATAATGTATATAGTCTATATTTAATGTCCAGTTATCCGAAAAAATTTAAACTCCTCCAAAATGAAACCTGAATAACAAAAAATATAGTGATAATTAATAAAATTACAATCATTCAAAAAATATTGTAATTATCTAAATAAAATTACTGTCATAATAAAAAGTTGAAGAAAAAAAATTACAATCATTCAAAATAAATTAAAAAAAATACAGTTATCTAAAAAAACTTAAATAAAAAGATAAAACAAATTACATGAATTAAAAGTTTATTCAAGACTTTCACAAATATGGTTAAGTGTGTTTTTAACGTTATTATGATGTACATAAGTAATCTCTCCTCTCTCCTCTTTGACGATTCTAATAATTATTCTTAATATTGGTTTCAAGTTTACTCATATATTTTTTATATTTTGAATATATCTATATTAAATTAATGATATTAATTTATTGGAGAAGATATATTTATTACTCTTATATTTTTTCGTATTTATAATATAATAAAACCAATTTCAATTAATTGTAATTATTTATGAACCATATCGTAAATATATTATCATATAAAATTTAGAGTATAATTATCTTCTCATAATTCAATGAAATTACCTTCTTATTAGACCGATCTTAATAGATTTTTAAGACTAATAGATTTAGTCAATTTTGAAAATATTTAAACAAAAGAATATACTCGCAAACATTTATAAGATAATGGTGAAAAACATACGTCGGTAGGGACAATACATTCATTTAAAGCTCAAACCTTATTGAATCTACAACATCCTATATTATTAAGGAATAGAATAAACATTTGTATTCATCATTTCTTTATCAATGTCATAGGGATTATGTAATCATAATTGTGACAAAAGGTTGGTTATATCTTTTTATGTTTTTTAAAAAATATTATAAATTTGTGCGTGGAAGCTTCATTAATAATCTTTGCAAAAAAAAAGGGAGTAAAGTTATCAGAAAAATTAGTCCATCCCATTTTATTTTTTTCAAAAGTAAGTCAAACACGATTTATTACAAATGCTTTTAAATGATTAGATATAAAATAAAGACATCTGTTATTTTGGATATTAGAAATCATAATTTGGATCTATTCTGGTTGTGCTTGTTGTCAATGTTTCCTTACGAGATTTAATAAGGGAAAAGTTAAATGAAATCTCAAGTGAATCATATAGAAACAAAAAATGCATCATATTAAACTAAAAATCTTATGCACGAGTATTTTTGTAATCTTTAACATGTATAGGATATCTTTTACACAAAACTCTTATTAAATAGACCTTCGATATAAGATTTCACAATATTAAGTTATATTATCTATTTTAAATGTTACATAACTGAGTCACTCATCCAGATGATCATCAATAAATATCCTATTCCAGATGGTACTAACTGAATTGGTCATTAAAACAAATGTTCAACTCTGAAATTATTATTAAATATTTTTTAATTTTAGGAGAACTAACACTGATATTTACGCATGGATACAAAACAAATTAATATGACATATATTCAAACAAAAACCTTAAATTATTAAATTAGTGGGTTTTTTCACCTATATTTATAAACACTCATTATTATAAACTGCGGAAAACAACTTCTGAATTGTAGCAACCTTGTGTTGGTTGTTGTGTGATGTTTGCGACCAAGGAGACAAGTTCATGACATTCTTGGTGTAATGCCTCAATATTCAATAATCTTGATTTCAACCTTTAAATTAATGCTATGCTGTATACTGTGGCACGTTCACATACAATATTAAACTGTATTCCATTTAGGTCACAGCAGCCAACTTGAACTTCGGTTTTATTTTCAAAAATAATGGAGAACAAATAATGCTAATCAAGTAGACCCAACAAAGAATATGTAATTTCATTATTTATTAAAAATAAAGTAAACAAAACACCTTTTGTAATTAGAAATCAATAATTAAAAATAAAATTTTTGTTGCCTCGTTACTTATGTTTTCTTCTTTTCAAATTTTCAGATCAATAAAATATCATCAGGCAGTATACCATATAGGTATGGTTCCAGACTTCCAGTTAAGGTGTGATGGATTGGAAGTAATCTAAAATGAATTGACAGCCTTGATGGCCTGAAATCTTGGCTCCTTTGGTTGGAACTTGAGCGTAGCATAGAGCTTCATGTAATCCTCGAATACAAATTTTCTCTCTCTTTTCCCTCTCTCTCCAACAATATTGGTGGTGCAGGGTAGATAACAGCATCACTGCCAGGGTTGTAGAATGAGGCCACAGACATTCTCGTCACATCGAGAAGTCACACGATGCTCCACATTCTTGTACTTCCCGTTGGTAATAACCTATGATGTTAGACCCAAACGTTGGATGAGAATTATTATAACTAGAATACATCATACAATGAATGAAAGAAACGTACCTCAAGTTGGTCACCAAGGTTAACAACAATGGAATGGCGCATTGGAGGCACATCCACCCATTGCCCATCTTTGAGAAGCTGAAGGCCACTGACCTTGTCATCTTGCAAGAGAAGGATAATCCCACCCGCATCTGTATGGGCACGAAGACCCTTCACCAATTCTGGCTTTGGGCACGCTGGGTAGTTTGCTACCTTTGTCCCAAAATTAGGACCTCTTGATCCATAAAATGCCTTCTTCAAGTACCCCTTTTCTAATCCAAGATTTTCACACAGCAGGTCTAGCAACTCCTCTGCTATAGCTTCTCCAATTTCTCTGCAAATTCCTTCATTGCATCCCTGCATCATTACCTCATCTAGTTCAGACATGTCATGTGTACACAATGATACATTGTGAACAATATATACGTCATGATTCATTCCATCAACAATATGTCATGATTTCGTGCGTCTGTCTCTTAGTTTTCAATTCGTTTACCTGTACTCTTGGATGAGATCAGGGATTTCAGAGATGGTGGAGGTTGGTAGATGGCGCAAGAAGAAGGTGCTCTCCCAGTCCATGTCCTTTAGTTCAGCTTGGACACCCTCCAAACCCTTGTTTGCCACTGCCTCATTGAACCTCTTCTCCATGCATTGCCTATAATGCTCTTTTGTTAACCTTTCCACCCTATCCAAAAGTTCATGGGGTATTCCATGATTCACCAACTACAATTCGGAAAGCAGCATAGTTAACATAGTTTTCAAATGAAAGCATGATGGAAATTTTGAGTTATAAGCTTGCAAATGAACATATCTATATTTATATTTGAGATTGTGAGGTACCTCAAAGAATCCCCAGTTCTGGCAAGCATTTTCAATCTGCTCCAGGGTAGCCTTCCTCTCCTCTCCATTGAGATTCTCCAAGTTGATCACTGGGAAGTTCTCCATCTCTTATACCTTTTGTTTATTGTGTTTGTACTTGCATATATATTAGGATGCTAACTGTGTGCATTTATAGGAATGCAAAGATAGTGTATGTGCATGGTTCATGAATCAAGAGATGCAGGCTTGCTTACTTAGTGGGCCAATCTATGCCACGAGATCATTTTTCAGTCGTTGAATTTTCTACTTTGGTATCATCTTGGACCCATCTGGAGGTGAAACCAACCTTCCTTGCATTTTCCCTTACATTGTACTTGCTGTCTGCAATGTGGTTTCTTATAGAAGGTGCACAAGCAGATGAAGTTCTGAAATTTTAATAACATTTATGGATTATTAATTATAAATTAACTATTTAAGAAACAATATGAAATGCTTATTAAAATTAACGAATGACATTTTAATCTTTATATTTTATTTTTAGATTATATTTTAAGTTAATTATTTTATTAATAAATCATTCATTTAATATATTTTTATTAAAAATATTACATAATTCAATTTTTCTTAATTTATTACAATTTTCCTTAATTTTATATAATAAATAATATATATATATATATATATATTTACATTTCATATTTTTTTAGGAGATGTAATTTGAGATTGATCAAATTGATGGAAAAAAATGTTCAAATTGATACTTGTCAAACTTCATTTTTCTTGAAATATCAAGTTTGCTTATATAGCTCACTTGCAGAACCTTACAAATAAAATTTTTGAATCAAACAAATTAACTAGTGTGACAATTCAATTTAGCTGAATTAGAGGTAAGTAAGAATCAAGAATTAAATACAAATCAATGCTAAATCACTCAAAATAGGAAAGAAACATATTATTTTCTCCAAAAATAGTCCCATAAATTTCTCTTCACAGCAATCAGATTTTGCAATTATTTATTTGAGAAATATTTAATTTTATTATAATTAATTTTAGCCTTAATTTCTCTTGTTTAAACCCCTATAAATAGAGAATCTCTTAGTTTGGGGTGAGAATTGTTGATTTGTCTCATCCCCATTTTCTTTTCCTACTCTCGAGTTCATAGTTTAATTTTTAATTAGGCGAGTTCATCTATTACTACTTGTACTTCCGGTTTGTTCTCTTTTGTTTATTTTACAATTTCTATTAAATTTTTCAATTTATATTATTCTAATTATTTTATTTATTTAGTGTTCATTTTTATTTCTGCTATTTAATTGTTTATAATTTTTATTTCAGTATTGCATAATTTTTATTTCTAATTCGTCTCATTTCCAATCTCAATTTGCAATTTAGTTTTAGATAGTTTTCAGAAATTTCAAATTTAAATATTGCACTATTTTATTTCAAAACAATTCTTGATTCTTGTACTTTTAATTAAAAACACTTTATTTTTATTTTATAAATTTCAGTTATTTAAATTATGCATCAATTTAATTTTAATTACTGCACTATTTTGTTTTAAAACAATTTTTACTCTTCCACTTTTAATTACAAGTATTTTATTTTAATTTTATAAATTTCAATTATTTAAATTTTATTTCCGTTTAATTTTAATTATCATTAATATTCAATAATAATTTGATTTTAATTTTTATTATTTTACATCAATTTATTTCTTTTTCACTTTTTTATTCATTCTCTTATTTTATGTTATTTACTATTTTAGAGAGAATGATAAGTAATAATAAGTATATTACTCTATCTTTATGAAATTGATATAGGTTAACTATTCTCCATTAGTTTAACAATATATTTATTATTTTTAATTAGTATTTTGTGCAACTAAAATATTATTATAAAAAATCCAACATATCCGTAAATAAATAAATAAAAAACAAGTTGTCTCCTTTCAGAACTTGACTAATAACAGCCACCAAAGCAAATAAAGAAAATGTGGCGTCTAACTGATAGGTTCTGAATAAGTTGTGAAGACCCCAATTTGAAAAAGTCCATTAATGGGGTCTCTTCAGTCTCATCATCTTTATCATACTTTCTCGGCACAAGATAATTGAATTAAGACTCATTAAGTCCCACATGTTAATCCATTGAAGGTTACTACCACGGGTATACGTATTTTTTACGTTATTGTCACATGTTGATAAACCAAGTCATAAACAATGATAGAAAAAGAAAATAAGAGAATAATAAGTCGACCAAAATAATATCTTGTTTTATACAGTGCCATTTAGTAATGCTCGAGTCAGTTTATTTTTAACCTTTTAAAGTGAAATTAAGTTAAATATACTTTAAATAATTCTTAAAAAAATACTTGATTTTTTTAAAAGAAAGAATTTGACTTCTCTTTTTTCTTTACTCTTTTTTAGACATTTATTTTAAATTAAAAAGATGAAAATTATCTACCACTCTAATTTTGTTTTAGAGTTACTATTTTAAAATTTAATTTAATACTAGTAAGTTATAAGGTCATACTTGAAATGTGAGGTTCATGGCTGCTCTAGACTCTTCTTGTCAAAGTTAGATTTCTTCTTTCTTTCAAATGGGCATCATATGCTGGTGAAATTTGGCAAAATAGCACTGAATAAAACTATGCACAAACTAATTTTACACGTTTGCTAATATGTCAGAGTCTAATATTTTTTATAATCTTATGTAAAATAATTAATTTAAATCTATATTATATTGTTTATGCATATATGACTAAGAGTAATCATAATTATAAAAAAAAATATAATTGAAATCCTAAAATAGAAGATGCACCACTACCGAAATTTACGATTTACTGAGGGATATTTACGAGGGATCCAAAGCCGTCGGAAATTGAGTAATTACCGATGGACATTACAGACGGATTTAAGATAGTTGTGAAATTTGGTTTTACCGACGGATATATCCGTCGGTAAATAAAATATTCATTATCGAGGGATATATCCAGTCGGTAAATTAGGAGGAAGTGGTTCCCTCAAAGCGGCCTCGAAAATATAACTTATAATTATATATATATATATATATATATATTATAGAAATTAAAATAAATTATATTTAGAATATATATATTTTAAATATAAATTATTTTCAAATTCATAATTATTATTCTAATGTATGCAAAATATATATATATATATATATATATAATAATTAATTTAAAGATTTTAATTTAAGTAATATAATATATATAATTTATTTAACATTAATTTGATAGTTATAATTTTTTTGTAAAGTTATAATTATAAATATGATTTTTTTAAACATATATATAATATTTATAATATATAAGTGATAAATGATTTTTTTATTTTAATTTAATATATATGTGTCACTTTTATGAGCGGTTAACATTTGAACCGCTCTTAAAAGGAAACATGTAATAGCGGTTAAACATTAACCGCTCTTAAAAATGACCTATAATAGCGGTTGCACTTCAACCGCTATTGTATATACCTCGTTATGATCGATTAATTTTTAACATAATCGATTATATTTTCAGATTTGGTTTTACCGACGGATATCCGTCGGTAAATTTGGAGGCAGACCTCAAAATATAGCTTATTCTAATTTATTTTAATTTCTATAATATATATATATATATATATAGAAATTAAAATAAATTAGAATTTAGAATATATATATATATTTGTTAAATATAAATTATTTTCAAATTCATAATTATTCTTCTAATTTATGCAAAATATATATATATATATATATATATAATTAATTTAAAGATTTTAATTTAAGTAATATAATATATATAATTTATTTAACATTAATTTGATGGTTATAAATTTTTTTAAAG